ATACAATGGTTTATATTTGTATAATTATATATGTACATATATTTTTTTGTACATATATATATATATATATATATATATATTATTCGTATAACTCATATAATATACAGTAAATATAAGTATATTGTGCAGTGGCGGAGCCAGAAAAATTAACCATGTGGGTCATAATATTTTTTCTTAAAAAGAGAGATTATATTAAAAACATATTTTTTTAAAAAAACAAAAAAAAAGATGAATTCTATGTTCAGTCATATTTTGAAATCTTTTTTTTTGTTTCGACCTAGATAACAAACTAACAATTATAATCCATGATTTCATTTCTACTGAAACGGAGGTATCCAACTATCCAAGTAAGAGATATTATATTAAGCAACCCTCTTCTACTTTGAAAAATCCAAAAATGTGTTTAGTATTTTAATTACTTAAACAATCAAACAAAAGTTTCTTAAATTCTTATTTTAATTACTTAAACTATCAAACAAAAGTTTCTTAAATTACAAAGAATTTGACTTACAATTTATTAATTTTCAATATGCTTACGCAAAGATAAAAATGACGAAGAAAACAAAAGAGTCCAAGTATTGAGAAATTAGATTTTAACCATTTAGTGTTTAAGGGCCTGCTTTTTTTAACTAACTTATAATTATGTTTAGGTACATAATCGAATAAGATTTATTTAAGACTTAAAGGTTAAAATCCAACAGTTTAAAAAGCCCAATAATCATATGAAATATATCTCAACATTATTAAAAAAATATTAATAGTATCTTTGAATATAAGGGTCAAGAGAGAGTTTATATTTGTTTAAGAGGTGTCACTAAAATTATGGAAGGGTGTCAATACGTTATTTAAACATGTGTTATCTAATTTTTATAGTAAAAGTCAAGCTTAAAATTTTATTTTCATGGGTGTCATATGACACTCCTCTTTCTTCTCTACCTCCGCCACTGATATTGTGTATATGTATGTGTAACCGTACACTATAATAAACGTACAGATCATATTATGCTATGTAAATGATTAAATTTAATAGTATTATAACATTAATTGCATTCTTGTAATTATAACATTCAATTAAGGGTTTGAGAGTCATTCAAATAGTGTCTAATAGTAATCATTGTCTATTTCTCTAATTATAAATAATCTTTGTACTATCTTGCTAATATCTTTTTGAAAATGTACTAAATCTCCAATTATTCCGAAATATTAGTGTATTTTAGGAAAGTACGTGACACGTGCATATACGCGTAGGTTTTGCCAAATGCATATTTTGTTCTCGTGCCCATATTTTATTTAAGACTCTCCATGGTCACATTTTAGTATTATGTATTTGTGTTTGCTTTGTAAAGCTGAGGATACTAACTGAAAAACACTAATACACCTAAAGTAAAGTAGTAATGATATGTTCTGGTGCCCATATAACAATTTTTATTTGTACGTTTCAGACAATGATATAGTATGATTGTTTGTAGTAAATTGAGAATGTTTATTACAAACAAAAAGACCTTTTACCCACAAAACCTAAATTTGAAAAGCAATTACAGTTTTACAATTTATGATTGATAGTGAGTAACGAAATTTAATTTAGCCAGTTTTTAGGTAGTTTTTTTTTTGGTTTTCAAAGTCAAGTAGCAAATTATATATCTTTGGTCGTAAGTGGCAACGCTGGCCAAGTAGAAAGTTCTTAAGAATCCATTATTGATAATGACAATCAATATGTTAAAATGGCATACTTACCAACTAGGGAGAAACGTGGAAGTATCAAAGACCAAGACTCTTCTTCACTCTCAAGTGGATATTATATCTCAATATTCTAGGTAGGTATATTTTAATAAGAAATATTTTGATTTATTGTTTTATGGTGGTAATCTGTTTTGTTGTGTTCTAATTAACAAATTTTATTTTTTCGTACCCAGTTTCTTTTGTTTTACGACTAGAAGATTATGCGTCCGTAGGCCTTTACATATCCAGGACGTACAAGGTCCATACCATATGATTTGACTCTCTTTTAGAGCAGACCTCTCAAAACATGAATCGAACCCGTAACTTCCCATAGTCTCTATCAGTGGCGGAGGTAGGAAATCAGGTCATAAGGGTCAAATTTTTTTATAAAGGTTAATTATGTTATTAAAAAAAATTATGGGGGTCAATTGTGTTATTTTACGAGGATCTGTTTGATATTTTTCCTAAAAATTCATCTAATTTGAAAAATTCAACAGGGTCAAATGACCCCTATGGTCCTTATATACCTCCGCCCCTGGACTCCCGATGTGGCTATGTTTTCGGTAACAATCTATGCATAGATGAAAAAAGTAAAGAAAGATGTTCATTAGATGTTTCATTATTGTTAAAAAGATATCATAGTATAGTTAGTTTTCAAGTAAGATAGAAATCAGAAAAAAGATCACTGAAAATAGTATGAACACCAATTTTTATATAACAATAGTATCTTGCACCATACGTTCTGAATGCAGAAGTTCTAATCGACTTCATAGTTAAAACTTAATAAAAGAAATATATTTTATTTCTTAGTTGGCCCAGAAATAAACTAAGGCCCAATTTGATATTTCGATTACAATAATTAAGGCTAACAAAAGCCATTGTTATTGTGATATTTGCAACAGTGTTTTGATTAACTGATTTACATCTCTCAACGACAATTCAACTCCGTGAAGACATCTTCGGGGATTAATATTGTTAAACTTTCGAATTGGGATTGACTTCTGGTGAAAGGAGAAGCATTAGGTAATGGAATGATGATGGTGTCACTGCCAAGCCAAGTTATTACAGAGCTCATAGTTGGTCTCTTTGTTGGATTCTCTTGAACACACAACAAACCAATTTGTATCAACTTGATGATCTCGTTTCTCGGATGCCTTATCAAGAAAGGGTCAATTATATTCTCAGGCTTTCCTTCAACCCATCTCTTCCATGTCTGCACCAAGAAAACGTAAATGCTTATTATACTTTCTCTATAGAAATGGAACAAAGATTGATATGTGAATTAAGAAGCTTACAAAAGCTGCAAGGCCTTCTCCTTCGAAGCTGTTGTTTCTTTTACCACTTATAATCTCTAGAAGCATAACACCAAAGCTATAAACGTCAGATTTAGCTGAGATTTGTCCATGTTTCAGGTACTCAGGAGCCATATATCCACTGCATATTTGCAAAGCAATAACATTAATTCATGGTCCATTTAAAGGTTTCTTCTAGCTAGGTTAATTGATATACTACTCTTACCGTGTTCCAGCTATATGTTTTGTTTCAACTCCAGTCACGTCAGTGTCGAACAACCTCGCTATCCCAAAATCTGCAACTTTAGGGTTCATCTCTGCATCTAAAAGGATGTTACTTGCCTTCAAGTCTCGGTGAATAATCTTCAGCTGAGAATCTTCATGAAGATAAACAAGACCTCGAGCAATGCCTTCTATAATTATATATCTCAACTCCCATGTAAGAAGTGAACGCTTCTCCTCATCTGCAGTGTTCAGAGAAACATTGTCATGCTAAAAGTTTCCAAAAATAGTAACTTAAGTTGTCGAGGCTCACCGAATATAAAGTTGTCAAGACTTGCGTTGGGGACAAACTCGTAGACAAGAATCACTTCATCTCCTTCATTACAGAACCCGAGAAGCTTAACAAGATTCCTATGTTGGATTCTTGTCAATAGTGAAACCTCATTCTTGAACTCTATATCTCCTTGTGATGAACCTTTTGTTAATCTCTTCACCGCTATCTCTTTACCGTTAAATAATGTCCCCTGAAACCGGTTTTTAAGATCGGTTAAAGACAAACATCAATAAATAACTCAATATTATGACTTAGGAGAAACGTTATTACTACGTACCTTATAGACCGTACCAAATCCACCTTGGCCGAGCTTATTTTCACACGAGAAATCATTGGTTGCCGTTAAGAGCATACTAAGATCAAACCGTAACATAATCTGACTATCAGAAGGAGAGTACGATGCACTACCATTGAGTAATCTGTATGCTTTTCTCTTTCGTGCATGGAATTTTGTGAAGCCAATAAACACCAAAAAATTAGTGAAAGTAAAAACAACAATTATTGATATAATTCCGCCATCTCCAATCCTTCTTTCTACAAATCATTGACCCATATTAGTCTGGCAATGCTAACAAATTAATCTGGCAATGCTCTAACTCAATTGTTTTACCTTTCTTGTCTGTTATAGAGCTCTCTTTTTTCTGAGCCGGAGGCCGAGGAGGCGCAGGAACGCTTGTTAAATTATCAAAAGCACCGTAGAAAGGATATAGATTCCACCTAAAAAAACAGCTAGGATAATTAACCCCGCCTCCTTGTCTTCCCCAAACCTGTTCTTTAAAAAGCGTCACGCATTTTCCCAAACATGTCTTGCAATCTTGGGAAGTTATGTCGGGTGTGCATTGCATCAGCATGTAAACATTTGGATACTCCGTGAACTCGGCTTTTACGGCACTATAGTACTTAAGTACGGAAGAATTTTCAGCTTCCGCGGCAGCCTTAATGGTCTCATTAGCCATTGCATTCCATTCTTTTTCGAAAAGGGTTATGTTTTTTGATTTGTCAGACTCCAGAGTAAGATCAGTTTCGTATCTAATATCAGATGTAAGCTGTAGGTTCCCAAAAGTTGACTGGTTTGAGGAACTTACAAGACAAGAAATCTTGTCTTCGTCGTCTTGGTCCCACGTGAACGAATTGCGCTGTTGACATCCATATAGTATACCCTCAGTCGCTGATTCTAGACAACCTATACAAGCTTGTCTCTCGTAGCCTCTTGCGCAGAGGGCAAGAGCGTGAACTCTGTCGGGACTTTCGCCGAGTAAACCGTTGTAGAATCCACCATTTTCGACAACTTTTTTAGCAAGAGTAGAGAAGAGATTCTGGCGGTTTTGGTCGTAGCTGCTGTTACCGTTGAAGTAGAGACCGGTACATTCGACGGCGTTTATACCTTCAAGGTTTGAAAGGACAAGAAAAAGTGAAGAAATGAAAAAGACCATCAAAGTAGGGCATGCCCCCATGTTAATGATATAGAACATATTTTTTAAAAAAAATATACAACTTAATGTGCTATTTTGTTATATTGTTAAGAAGTATTCGATCTTTAGAGCTAATTTTGTTATTGTATATATAAAGGTGAGATGAGAAGGAGAATATAATAGGATATGACTTCACAAAATGTGTATTTGGTCAATTTTTTTTTGGAATACTAACATGTGATCCCAGAGCATTACGTAATTTTCTAGCTCCAAACTTGTGTTGAAGTTTTCTAAGTCTATGGTTTTTGTATGTTTTGCGAGGGATGGTTAATCGAAATAATTAAATATTAATTGCAGAAAAACCTTCCGTCGTCAATTGAGGGAAAAATTAATTTAGAACAAAACGAAATTATAATTGCAGAAAAACCTCCTCTATATATTATAAGCTTGATCTTTTGGAAAAGAATTTAACTTACAAATGAGATTTAAATATATTTTTTTTTTGTGTGGAAATGGCAGAGTAGTAAAATGAAAATTAATCAATAAAAACAAATTATTATTAAACATTTTTGTATACTTCAATGGAAGATTTTAAAAATTATATGAGCTAGGTTTTAAAAATTAGCAATGGAAGATTCCATATTTGAATCGTATCACCTATTTAATTTTCCAGTGGACATGAGTCACATGACCATGCATCTTAATTAGACTTGATTTTGAGCAATGTAGGCTTCCACGTATTTGCTACGTATATATACATAAAAATCCTTCTCCTTTGAAGCCATTTTTGATTTTGTCCTTGGATATATTTCATACATGACTAATGACTTCAGTTTTACTAATGAAAATAATATCGGAAACAATGTCGTTATTTCCCATTTGTCCAAGTCTTGATGCCATTCACCAGTAATGAACTTATGAATGTTCTAACGAGCTGCGTACGTTATGACAAAACGGATATTAGTTGCCTTTCAAACTGAGAATATGTGTGTTATCATTATTGGTTGATTTTTAAAGATGTGAACAATGCCAAAATGGACTTTAAACAAACAAAAGATGTGAAAATGGCAAAACATGTTATATTATAAAAGATAATTAATATTTTTTATATTTACCAGTAAACATGTTATTTTATAAACTAACCATAGTATGTAGTTTGATTTATATATAATATTTAATAGTATTTTTAATTGAATTTATGTAGGCTGAGTTTGAAAAAAGAAGAGATGTTTTAATACATGCAGTTTTAAACATTTTCAGCAAATTTTTCAAAAAAATGTTACCCTAATTGTATAAACGTTACTTTTTCTTTGAATATAATTTAACATTACATTAAAAAAAAAAGAATTTGAAAAAAAAAGTAGAAGTATGTATTATTTAAAATAAAATGTAATATAATTACAATCAGATTTGCTAAAATAAGTATGAGCAGCAAATATCTCTTCTCTTCTCTTTGGATGTCTTTTAATTAATGTACTATAGTTAGAAGAATCGTGATTTCAGCTTTTTTTTTTTTTTGGTCTGTCACTTGTTGTATATAATAATGTCATCATGACTTCAAATACCGCGGTTGGCTTTAGATGTTATTGGTTGTCTTTTCAGTGCTATGGACACAAGGAGATATAGCAGGGGAACCAACATCAGACGGAGAGGAAGCGAATGATCACAAAGCAGTGTATCCATGTTGATGCCCAAGGGAAAAATTATTCGGATGACTACATACACTGCTTGACTAATTTCTTCGCCATTCCAGAAATAGTTAGTTATATGACTAGTGTTTATGTGAGTGAAACGGCCTGACATATATATATTGTTACTTGTAAAGAAATAAGTAATGTAATTAAGCTTAAACCTACCCTAAGACGAGGATTTGCATCAGGATGAAAGATGGAAAGTCCACTCAGAAGAACTGCAAGGCATAAACTGTATAATTTTTTCGGTAAGTCACTGAATTTTCCGCTTCTTATTTCTCTAAGTCCTGTGAGGAACTACATATTCTTGTCTTTTTAGTTTCTTCTAGTTTAGGAAATAAAGAATCCATACATTAATTTTCTATTTTACAAAAGAAAAAAAAACAAATATCTAAAGACCACAAGATATAATGAAATAAGTTTTTGAAAACAGCATTTTTTATTATAACTCAACGACAACTCAACTCCGTGAAGACATCGCTGCTCATTGACATTGTACTACTTTCAGATTGGGATAGACTTCCAGTGAAAGCAGGAGCATTAGGTAAAGGAATGATAATAGTATCACTGCCAAGCCAAATGATCACAGAGCTCATGGTTGGTCTCTTTGCTGCATTCTCTTGAACACACAACAAACCAATTTGTATCAACTTGATGATCTCGTCTCTTGGTTGCCTTATCAAGAAAGTGTCAATTATATTCTCAGGCTTTCCTTCAACCCATCTCTTCCATGCCTGCACCAAGAAAATGTAATATGGTTTTACTTTCCCAACAGAGGTTTGAAGATAAAGAAATAGAAAAAAAAAATAGACTAATATATATGTGAAGAAGCTTACAAAAGCTGCAATGCCTTCTCCTTCAAAGCTGTTGCATCTTTCACCACTTATAATTTCTAGAAGCATAACACCGAAGCTATAAACATCAGATTTAGCTGAGATTTGCCCGTGATTCAGGTACTCAGGAGACATATATCCACTGCACATTTGCAAAGTAACATTAATTCATATGATTGTTTGATCCATTTAAATGTGTTTTCTAGGCTAATTGATATAATATTCTTACCGAGTTCCAGCTATATTTTTTGTTTCAGCTCGAGTCTCGTCAGTGTCAAACAATCTGGCTGTCCCAAAATCTGCAACTTTAGGGTTCATCTCAGCGTCCAAAAGGATGTTGCTCAACTTCAAGTCTCGGTGAATAATCTTCAGCTGAGAATCTTCATGAAGATAAACAAGACCTCGAGCAATGCCTTCTATAATTATATATCTCAACTCCCATGTAAGAAGTGAACGCTTCTCCTCAGCTGGAGTGTTGATAGGGAAACATTGTCATGCTAAAAGTTTCCAAAAATAGCAACTTAAGTTGTCGAGGCTCACCGAATATAAAGTTGTCAAGACTTGCGTTGGGGACAAACTCGTAGACAAGAATCACTTCATCTCCTTCATTACAGAACCCGAGAAGCTTAACAAGATTCCTATGTTGGAGTCTTGTCAATAGTGAAACCTCATTCTTGAACTCTATATCTCCTTGTCCTGAACCTTTTTTTAATCTCTTTACTGCTATCTCTTTACCGCTAAATAATGTTCCCTGAAACCGGTTTTAAAGATCTGTTATCTATCCAAGACAAAGATCAATCAATAAGTCAATATTATTTACCACCTACCTTATAGACCGTACCAAATCCACCTTGGCCAAGCTTATTTTCACACGAGAAATCATTGGTTGCCGCTAAGAGCATACTAAGATCAAACCGTAACATAATCTGACCATCAGAATCAGAGTACGGTGCACTACCATTGAGTAATTTGTATGCTTTTCTCCTTCGTGCATGGACTTTGATAAAGCCGATAAAAACCAAAACATTAATGAAGATAAAAACAACAATTATTGTTATAATTCCGCCATTTAATATACTTCTTTCTGCACAGTGCAAATCATTAACCCCTTTTAGTCTAAGAACCTCTATATCATACTTAAAAAATTTGGCAATGCTCTAACTCATTTGTTTTACCTTTCTTGTCGTCTATTATAGAGCTCCCTTTTTTCTGAGCGGGAGGCCGAGGAGGCGCAGGAATGCTTGTTAAATTACCAAAAGCATCAAGAAAAGGATATAAATCCCACCTGAAAAAACAGCTGGGGTAATTAACAGTGCCTCCTTGTGTATCCCAAAACAGCTTTTTAAAAAGCAACACGCCTTCTTTCAAACACGTCTTGCAATCTTTGGAGGTTATGTCGGGTGTGCATTGCATAAGCATGTAAACTGTTGGATACTCCGTGAACTCGGCTTTTACGGCACTATAGTACTTAAGTACCAACGAATTTTCAGCTTCTGCGGCAGCCTTGATGGTCTCATTAGCCATTGCATTCCATTCTTGTTCGAAAATGGTCATGTTTTTAGACTGCAGACTAAGTGGGCTTTGGTGTCTAACAGCAGGTATAACCTCGAGGTTCCCAAAAGAGTGGTTTGAGGAACGTACAAGACAAGAAATCGTGTTTTTCTCGGCGCCACCCCACATGAACGAATTTCGCTGTTGACAATTTTCTAGTATACCCTTCGCTGATTCGAGACAACTGATACAAGCTTGTCGCTCATAGCCTCTTGCGCAGAGGGCAAGAACGTGAACTCTGTCGGGACTTTCGCCGAGTGAACCGTTGTAGTATCCACCATTGTCGACGACTTTTTCAGCAAGAATAGAGAAGAGACTCTCGCGGTTTTGGCCGTAGCTGCTGCTACCGTTGAAGTAGCGTCCGGTACACCCGAAGGCGTTAATGACTTCGAGATTTGGAAGGACAAGAAATAGTGAAGAAACGAGGAAGATCATCAAAGTAGGGCATGCCCCCATCTTAATAATATATAACTTTTAAAAAAATATATACAACTTAATGTGCTATATTGTTAAGAAGTATTCGATCTCTAGAGCTTTTGTTATGATATATTTATAAAGGTGAGATGAGAAAGAGCCTATATTTGACTTCACAAAAAATGTGTATTTCGTCAATTTTGTTTGGAATACTAACATGTGATCCGCAAGCATTACGTACTTTTCTAGCTCCAAACTTGTGTTGAAGTTTTCTAAGTCTACGATTTTCGTATGTTTTTGCGTGGGACACTCCAACTTATATTATGGTTAAAGATTAATCGAATTAAATATTAAATATCAATAGATGAAAAACTTAATTAATTTAGAAGGAAACTAAATTGTTAGTAACTTTTTTATAAATTAATTAAGTACATAACATCGTAAATGAATAGCTCCATTATTTCATTATACATTTTAAGTTTGATCTTTTGGATAACTTAAGATTTAAAAGTTTTTTTTGTGGAAATGGCACAAAGTACTGAAATGAAAATTAATCAATAACTAAAATATTTTCATATATTGGTCAATTCATCTTTCACAGTTCACATCACATCCAAAATTACAGTGATACCAAAATTACAGTGATAGGTTCTTCAAGCTACTTTTCTTCTAGAGTGTTTTTTTTTTTTATGGGGACAAAAGAGTGTTTTTTTAGTCTTTCTTTTTTGGATAAAAGGCTATTCTTTTAGAGTTCAATTTTTCTTTTTTGGTGAAGATTCGTTTAGAGTTTGGTTGTAGGTACGTTTGAAGCCACCAAATTTGTTAGTTTTCTTTTTTTTTACTAAAAATTGTTGTTTTTGTTTAAAGACTAAAATTGTTTGAGCTTTTTAATTATCAATAGAAGATTCCAAAAAAGAAAGATTAAATTGGAGGTTTTAAAATTATCAATGGAAATGTAAGGTTTTAAAATGATTTGAGGTTTTAAATTTTGAACAGGTGATCAGGTTCCAATGTATACTTTAAAAAAACGAATATTATATGAGGTTTCAAAATTATCAAAGGAAGATTCCATATTCGAATCGTATCACCATTTTCATTGGATATGAGTATATGACTTATGAGTTGACCATGCATCTTAAGACTCTTTTGAGACCTCGTAGTCTTCCACGTATTTGCTACGTACATAATATACATGAACTTTCTTTTCTTTTTGAAGTCACTTTTGATTTGGTCCTTGTATATATTTCATACATGACTAATGACTTCAGTTTTACTTATGAAAATAATATCAGAAACAATGTCGTTATTTCCCATTTTTCCAAGTATTGATATTAGCATTGAGATCAATGTTTTGACGAGCCTCGTACGTTATGATACTACTTTAAAAGAGACCTCGACAAAACGGATATTAGTTGCCTTTCAAACTGACAAAAATAGGTATTAAATAGTTGACTTCCAAACTGAGAATATCGTATTACTATTTTTTTCTTTTTCTACTAATGGTTGAGTATTAAAGATGTGAACAATGCCAAAATGGATTTTAAACGAAATTTTAGAGATAATTGCAAAAAAAAAAATGATATATAATGGGATTCTTTGGAGTCTATAGTACGTTTCTAAAACAAAATTATAAAAATAGTCAGTTTACTATTTATTATTAGCAAAAACATTTTATTTTACTATTTGTGTAATACAACTTTTGTGAGTCTCATTCTAGCTGTTGAAAAAAAAAAGAAAAAAAAAAACTAAAAATACTAGTTGGTGTGTAATTAAAAAAAAAACCCCCCAAATTATGATTTTTTTTTTTGGTAGGAACCCCAATTATGAATAGTAAACGTACTAGTTCACTAATAAAGTACTTACTAAAATGCCAATTAACTCTATATAATTCATAACAGATTGACATTAAAAATAAATAAAAACAAACAATGATCTTTGATTGGAGTATTAATTAGTGAGTTTCATATATAAACCGTGGAACAAAAAACAAATCCAAACAGATAGTACACAAAATCTTTAATTATGTTACACTTGTAGTTATATGTGCTTTAAAGTATTTTTGTCTATCTTTACAACCGATTAAGGTGGATAAGGAAAACTAAACGTTTTATAGAGTTAAATTGTTACTCATTTGATCTAAAATAAAAACACTTGCGTGATCTCTATATATTCTCCGAACACTTAATTAGATGTATCAGAGTTTACAAAGTGATCTCAATTTCAACTTCAACGAGGACTTAACTCGGTGATTGTGAGCTTATTTAATGACGATGCGCCAGCTCCAGCTTCGGCTAATTGATTCGATGCATTGGTTCCATGCAACTCGACAGGAAGACGCATGGTGAAAGCAGCAGCTGTAGGTAACGGAATCGAGATAGTGTCACTTCCAAGCCATTGAATGACCAAACTCATGGTTGGTCTCTTTGCAACATTCTCTTGAACGCACAACAAACCAATGTGGATGAATCTCATTATTTTGTTTGTCGAGTTCCTACAGAGAACATGATCGATGATACTCGCTGCCTCTCCCGCAACCCAACACTTCCATGCCTATATATATATAGTATCATCATCATAACTTATTAAATAATGTTACAATCTGTAACGTAAGAAACAAGGCTGTGATAGTTATATATGCTTACATATGCAGGGAGCCCTAGGGCTTCGAAATAGTTCTTGTTACTTTGACCCGTTATCATCTCGAGAAGCACGACTCCGAAACTGTAAACGTCGGTCTTGACTGAGAATCTTCTGTGCTTAACGTACTCAGGAGCCATGTAACCCCTACGAACATGCAACAAATAACATTACAGATGGTCCTAATTTCTCAAAAAAATGAGGAGCTAGGTTTTGTCTAACAGATTCTGTAAAAACAGAGTATCTCTGTTTGAAACAGAGCAAACTTACAAGGTTCCAACTAGTTTTCTTGTCACTGCTCGAGTCTGGTCCATATTGAACAACCTTGCCATCCCAAAGTCTGAAATTTTAGGATTCATATCTGCATCTAAAAGGATATTGCTTGCCTTCAAGTCACGGTGAATAATCCTCAGCTGAGAATCTTCGTGTAGATAAAGAAGACCTCGTGCAACACCTTCTATAATTGTGAACCTCATGTCCCACGTTAGTAGCAAGCGCTTCTCTTCATCTGCAGATTTCCAAAGAATCCTCAATACTAATTACAAAACATTCATAACTCACACATCAACTAAGTGAAAAGGCTCACCAAATATGAAGTTGTCGAGGCTTGAATTGGGGACAAACTCGTAGACAAGAATCTCTTCATCTCCTTCATTACAATACCCAAGAAGCTTAACTAGATTCCTATGTTGGAGTCTTGTCAAGAGTAAAACCTCGTTCTTGAACTCTATATCTCCTTGTCCTGAGCCTTGTTTTAATCTCTTTACCGCTATCTCTTGCCCGCCGGGTAAGTTCCCCTGCATACCCAATTCTCATGCTATAAGATCTATGACCTATCTAAAGATTCATGATCTTGAAAGAACTAATTAACAAGTTTATTTACCTTGTAGACAGATCCAAATCCACCTTGGCCAATCTTATTTTCAGAGGAGAAATCATCAGTTGCTATTAGTATCATGCCAAAATCGAACCGTAACATAGACTGACCACCAGATTCACCCTGCTGCTCTGCACTTACCAAAGAAACACATCTTAAGACCAATGATGCATAACAAATATTTGTTGAAAAACATGACAATATACCTTTGATTTTTCTGTTCGATCTTTTTATCCGATTATAGGCTTTGATCAGACCGATAAACACGAGAACATTAATGACGATAGGAACAACGAATATCGCGATAATTCCTCCTGCAATATTAGCTTTTTTAAGATATATATTTGTATGATAATCTCAGGTTATTTCACAGTTAACAATGTTTACCTTTCAAGCGAGTGACGGATATTACTTGTGCTCGAGGAATCAAAGCTCGAGGAGGCGCAGGAACTCTGATTGCATTGGCAAAAGCGCCGTAAAATTCATAAATTTCCCACCGGAAAACACAGCTTGGTCGGCATATCCCACCTCCTTGTCTTCCCCAGAACTGTTCTTTAAAATAATTAACGGACTCTTGCAAGCATTTCTTGCACGCGCCTGAAGTTAGGTCCGGTGTGCATTGCATCATCATGTAAACATTTGGGAACTCAGTGAACTCAGCTCTGACAGCACCGAAATACTTAAGAACCGCTGTGGAATTATCAGTGGTTGCAACTTCGAGCGTCCGGTCAACCATTGCATCCCATTCTTGGCGGAAAAGGGTAATGTTCTTGGTGGCTCTGTCGATAGCAGCACCGCTCGGATCAATCGTAGCCGGTCCAAGCTCGAGTTGCCCATAAGTCGAGCTATTCGTTGTACGCACAAAACAAGAAACACGGTCTCGAGGGTCACTGTCGCAGTTGAAGGATTCAACACGGTTACGACAACTTGTTTTAATCTGTTGAACAGATTTTTGGACGCAGTCGATGCAACCTTGCCGCTCGTAGTCTCTTCTACAGAAGGCAAGAACGCGAGTACCATCGATTGAAGCATTGTAGAATCCACCGTTTGTGATGACTTTATCAGAAAGAGTAGAGAAGAGAGAGTCGCGGTTTTTGTGGTAGCTGCTGTTTGACACGAAGGAGCTTCCGTCGCAGCTGAAACCGGCTTTAACGCCGGGGAGGGTTTGAAGGAGAAGAAGAATGGAAGAAGCAAGGAAGATCGGAGCAGAGACGTTATTCTTCATTATTATTAATTTTGTTAAGAAATGGTGTTTCGGGATTTGTTCAATGTTTATATTTGTATAATTAGGTGACATGAGAGAGAGACTAGGTTTTTGTTGGCTACCCAAGTAAGAAATTTGAGCAGCCGTTGACTTCAAAGATGGTCGTTAAGTTTTAGAAATTAACAAATTTTTAGCTCAATTTTAATGACAATCTTGATCAGGCTTTTCTATAAAAAATGTCCAAGAGGTGGTGGCTGAGTGGTAGGGCAGTTTGGATAGAAGGGTGCAACTTCCACAACTTGAGTTCGATTCTCCACTTTGCTGTTAACACCATATTTGTGGGAAGTCAACGTTAATTTGGACTCAGGCGATGTGGTAGTCCAACACTTGGGTATCGGCGACGAGTCTACATTGTAGTACTTTGGTACGATCCTTCCAAAGCTGACAGGATCAACCGATGGAATATATATCAAAAAAAGCAATATATAAAATTTGTATACAATGTAAAAATGCAATTTAAAATGTGGGAATAGCGACTTATGCTAATTGAAGATGACCAAACACAGATTTTAGAACCTTAGAAGGGGTTTTGGTCATCTTCCACTGTCTCACATATGTCGCATGTATAGGTTTAAATTGAAACAGCCGTATAGAAAGGTGTAAGTAATCACTTGGTGTGAACTAAGGTTTTTTTTTTCTCCCACATGCATATCTCTTTCGTTGAATACCAGGTTTTGTACGTGGTTGATCGCAAGACCAAAAATTCTTGCCTTGCTAAGTCTATACATATTGGTACATAATAAAGAATATCACAATTCAGAAAAAAATACAGAGAAGGTTGTATATGTAGCAATTTCTGAGTAACTCGAATTATGATAGTCCTTTAGAATAATCTTTATGCAAATTTGAACAGTTTTGTCATCATTCTCCAGTTTGCAGAAAAGGCTTCATATGATGGAAAAACATTACTTGCCAAATCATTGACAGAATCTGATTAATTCAATACGACCCAAAAAAACGTACTAATACATATGAAAAGACTTGCTTTTATGTCAAATTATATAGACTTAATTTTATTTTTTTTCAAAACAAATGTACCACCTACTATATCGTTTAGTGTGGCTTTATGGCATCTGATTACAGTTTTATGAATATTTATAAAAATAATTGGTATTGGTAGCTTTGAAATATTTACATATAGTAAATTAGTTATAAATACAGAAAATTATAATGGTTAACATGGCGCTAATATCAACTGTTGCAGCGGAAACTTATAACAAGGCTAGGTTTTAAATATCAATAGATCAAAAAACTCTATTGTGTGCTCTGTAAAACATGGAGAACTCAAAGACTAGACATACTTGGTGCTTTATCTTTTAGACATGTGTTATTTAATAAAAATAAGTACATTTTAATTTATCCAATTGATTTTTGAAAATAATAACCACAATACATTCTTAAATTAAACTATAAGCTGAAAGTAAATCATTATAAAAACTAAACTATAAGCTGAAAACTTATCGCATTTTTTTCCCTATAATTTTGTTTCAAATTTAACAAAAATAAATCACTTAATGTTATTAGTTTGATTTGAATATGAATTCTTTCTTTAAAATCAATTGGATAAATAATTTAAAATAATATAAGATGCTTAATTATTTCTTCCTATTGATTATTTAGAGCAATAGCCACAATAATCCTAAAATCAAACAATAAAATGAGTTCCTTTTTTTTTTTAGTTTATTGTAGTATTTCTTAAAGGTTAGTGATCTAAACAAGGAAAATAATGTTGAATTGTGATTAAGTTAAACTTAAACGATCAAATTTCAGCTTTTCTTTTAAATAAAATATTTTAACAAATGCAGGAGCTAACCATAATATTTAAAGTGAAATGTACTTCCACACCATTGTTACTACCTTTAAGAAGATAAGTAATGATGTCTTAGCCATGTCTCCCAAAAAAAATAAAAATAAAACACATAACTCGTAACCACTAATATAAACATAAGTTTGCTTACATTACACGGCATCTTTTGCTCAACATCTGCCATTTATTGTACAGGACAACGATGCATAATACATTATACATACATGCTTGAATGTTCATTAGCATCACAGAGATGAGGATGGTGTTGGTGATGGTGACTGTGACGGTGATGGTGATAGTGATAATGATGGCCGTGTATGAAAAACAACAGGTGTGGGCACAGGCATGGTGGTGTTAGCGTGTCTTCCAAGCCAAAAGATGATTGAACTAATGCTAGGTCTTTTGGACACATCCTCTTGAACACACAACAAACCTATGTGGATGAGCTTCACTACTTCGTTTATTGAGATGTTGTTACTCGGAGCAGCCAAAGGATCAATGATCTCTTCGTATCTTCCTTCATTCCACCTCTTCCATACCTACAAATAATTTTAAAGAGTTCGATAAGAATATGAAAAGAAGAATAAAGATGATTGATATAAATGAGAATCTTACAAAAGCTGGAAAGTCTTCTTCGTCTTCATCTTCTTCTTTTTCCGAGTTTTTGTTGCTTTTACCACATATCATCTCTAGAAGCATGACACCAAAGCTATAAACATCAGACTTAGCTGAGAATTGTCCATATCTCTCGTATTCTGGAGCCATATAACCACTGCATTAACCAAATCATATCAATGATGATGCTGATCAAAGAATCTTTAAACCCAAAAAAAAAAAAACAGAGTATCCAAATGAAACATAACTACTTACAATGTTCCAACTACTCTGCTTGTCAGTCCTCGTGTCTCGTCCTTATTGAACAGCCTCGCCATCCCAAAGTCTGCAACCTTAGGGTTCATCTCAGCGTCTAAAAGGATATTGCTTGCCTTCAAATCTCTGTGAATAATCCTCAACTGAGAATCTTCATGGAGATATTGAAGCCCCTTTGCAACTCCTTCTATGATTGTGTACCTCACATCCCATGTCAGAATCCGGCGTTTGTCTTCATCTGCAGATCTCAAAGAAACATTTTTTTTATTTTTACATATTGTTTGCTAAAGATAGAGTATCACACTATCAGTTAAAGATGCATGTGTCTCTCGAAAGGCTCACCAAATATGAAGTGGTCGAGGCTTGAATTAGGAACAAACTCGTAGACGAGAATCTCTTCATCTTTTTCATTACAAAACCCAAGAAGCTTAACAAGATTCCTATGTTGGAGTCTTGTCAAGAGTAAGACCTCATTCTTGAACTCCTTGTCTCCTTGCCCTGAATCTTTTGTTAATCTCTTTACCGCTATCTCTTGCCCGTTCTCTAATACTCCCTGAAAAAAAATCATTCTCATGCTATAATAAAGATCACTTAACCCATCTAAAGGTTTTGTTAGGACTAGTATCTTTACCTTGTAGACAGATCCAAATCCACCTTGTCCAAGCATATGAGAGAAGTTATTCGTTGCACTTATAATCATTTGAAGATCAAAACGTAGCATAGATTGACCATCAGTCGAATCAAAAGCGTCTGCATGTCATCACACCAAAATAAAAACATATCAATACGATTATACAAAGAATATAGGTCAATTCACTCATTACTAGTGGGTTTTGAGTTGCAATTTAAAATGTACTAGATTATTGTAAAAAGACTTTACCTTTGAATCTGGTGTGTGAAGACCTTTTCTTCCAAGAAACCACTAGCACCACAAATATGAAGAGGTTGATGACTACTGGGACCACAATAATTGCAATGTTGCTTCCTTGAAAACTTGTCTTGTCTCTCTCGCAATTGAGTTTATTCGAAGACACTTGAGGAGGAGGAGGAGGAGGAGGAAGAGCATGAACTCTTTCAACATTTTCAAAAGCTTTATAGAAAGAATAAAGATCCCACCTGAAATAACAGCTAGGGCGACTTATCCCAGCACCTTTTCTTCCCCAGTACTGGCTCTGAAGAAACTCATTCACACAATCCCTTAGGCATCTGGTACAGTCGCCTTGTGATAGGTCAGGCGTGCATTGCATCAACGCGTAAACATCTGGGATTTGTGTGAACTCTGTTCTTGTGGCGTTATAGTACTTGAGAACTGAGGAAGTGTCAGCTGTGGAAGCAGCCTCGAGCGTCCGGTTAGCCATGGCAATCCATTCTTTGTTGAACATGGTCATGTTCTTGGATATGGATGGATCTAAATTGTCTGGATTAGCGTTGATAACAACTGGTGTGAGTTCGAGTTTGCCAAACGTTGAGCGGTTTGTGTAACGTATAGAGCAAGAAACGTCGTCGGGTTGATGAGTGACCCATGAGTAAGACTCTTTTCGACGACAGTTTGGTTTCGTATCGTCGATGACATGTTCCAGACATGTCTTGCAAGCTTGATCCTCGTAGCCTCGTCTGCATAACGCAACAACGTAGACTCTACTGTTCTTGGAATCTCTACCAAACGAGGCGTTGTAGAAACCACCGTTAGTAATGACGTTTGAAGGAAGAGAAGAGAAGAGACGGTCACGGCTGAGGCCGTAGTTAACATCGAAAAAGTCGCCGTAGCAGATGAAACTGGCGTTAATATATTTAGGTGTTTGAAAGAGGACGAGAAGGAGAAGCCAGAGAAGAGTAGTCACGAGACAGTTCTTTCCCATTTTACTAAAATCGATTGGGTTGCAAAATCTGAGGTTTTAATTTTATTTTTGCATCTTATTACATAATAAGATGTTAGTTTATAACATTGCATTGAAACTTTTTAATCTATAACGTGAGAAATGGTACCACTATTTATTTATTTATTTATTTTATTTTTAGTGATATATATGGGTTATATATAGACTTCTAGTTGACTTAGAAAATAAGACATTGTCTGGGTTAGTTTTTGTTTTGTTTTATGACTAAACCGGCAAGATTGTGTGCCCATAAACATATTTGATGTTCGGAACAAATTGTTAAATAATATTATCTTTAAAACATACTAATATATCTTCTAAGTAGAATTGGAAATTTAATTTTAGTTTCAGTTTTGTGTTAACTTTGGAGAATATAAAACTTAAGTGGTAGTACCGAAGTACGTAGTTTAAAAAAAAACCAAAACTTAAGTGTGGTATTTTTGAGAACTGTCCATATGATTTATATATCAACCTATTTAACTTACTTTCTATAGTTTTCTCATAAAAAAAATTAAACTACATAAGTACTTTCAAACCATATGATTTCTTTGGTTTTCTGATTTAATTTTCAATGCATATGCGTCCACGTAGACTTCCAGTCTCCGACGCTATTATTACACGAGGATTTTAATTAGTCACTAAAACCATTTTTGGTCTTCCAATTTGACTTTCATAGTTTTGAATCTTTTGATCCTTGATGACAACAATATATGAAACCCGTACTAAGTATTACGTCCCTTTTAAGTCCTCTTGGCTCTCCTCCATTCATATCAACCTTGACCTTGTCGTTTCTATATTGTTTGGAAGCGGAAACGACATCGTTCTTTCTAGTGTATAGACTCGCAATTGCCACTTAAGGCACAAGGACAAAGAAGTGTTGGACGTATCGTTTACGTAAGCATAATTGATGAAAAGAAAAGTCTTTACCTTGCCTATTACGTCACCATAAAAAGTCTGGGGTTCTCACTTGTGAAAACGATATGATAATAGAAAAGTCTCTCTTCTTGTTTGATTGATCCATCAAGAGAAAAAAAATTAACAAACCAAAGTCTGTTTATATAAGCCAAACCAAAGAAATGTTAATAATCAAACGTTAGATTGTTTATATAGATGGAAAAATCCTTTCTTTTTCACAGCCCTTGTTTTCTTATCTTCTTCATCATCGTCTTCTTAACCACCAGTGGCGTTCACACTGCCTTCATCTGCGGTGACGAAAGCTTCTCTCTAAACACAACCTATGACGAAAGCCTCAGTGCTCTATTACTTTCTCTTGCTTCAAACGTTATCAGAGAACGCGGCTTCTACAACGCTTCACTAGGTGGAGTTTACGCTCTTGCTCTTTGTCGAAAACACTACGAAGATAAAGCTTGTCAACGCTGCGTGGATAGAGTAAGTAGGAGTCTTTTAACTCAATGCCAAGGCAAAACAGAAGCATATCACTGGGATGCTGAAAACGATGCAAACGTTTCTTGTCTCGTACGTTACTCAAATGTCCATAAATTTGGTCAACTAAAGCTTGAGCAAGTTGGGAATCTTCCTCACTCGAGTATTCCACCTTCTTTGAATCTGACCCGAATCAGCCAAGAGTTTTCCGCCATGGCCAATCGAACAGTTGAGGTTGCATCCACGGCTGATGAGTCCTCTGTATTGAAGTATTATGGAGTCTCAAGTGCAGAGTTTACAGACACTCCTGAGGTTTATATGTTGATGCAATGCACACCTGATTTATCTTCCAGTGACTGTAATCTTTGTCTGAGAGAGAATGTTAGGTTTAATCAAGAACATAACCGGGACAGAGTAGGTGGAACGGTTTCACGTCCTAGTTGTTATTTCCGATGGGATTTGTACAGTTTCGTTGGAGCTTTCAATAATCTAGAGAGAGTTCCTGCACCTCCTCGACCTCCTCAACCTCCTCAACCTGCAGAAAGATCTCGAGTAAAGAAAGGTACTAGAATTGATTATCTTTTTTGCTGAAATGATGAATTGACTTCATTTGCATGGATAAAACTTGACCTTTTGGTGGTATTTAGGAAGAATTTTTCAACCATGGAGCATTGTGGTTGTGGTTGTTCCTACGGTCATCAATCTTGCCGTGTTTGTTGCTTTTGTACTTGCTTTTCACCGGATGCGGAGGAGGATTCATGCCGGAATCAACAGTGAGTTTAGTTTCAGGACTTTTGAGTATATTAGTAGAAAAGTTTTGGAGCTTTTTAATAAGGAAAAGCTTTATACTGTATATGTGCAGAAAATTCTGATTCTGATGGTCAATCTATGTTAAGTTTTGATCTTGGCATGATCTTAATTGCAACCGATGACTTCTCTCCGGAAAATAAGCTTGGGCAAGGTGGTTTTGGATCTGTCTATAAGGTAAGAATCACTAAAACTCATTTAAGCAGCTTATCAAAGTCTTTATAAGGTTCAATGATTTTACACCGTTCTCAGGGGATATTACCAAGCGGTCAAGAGATAGCGGTAAAGAGATTAGCTGGAGGTTCAGGACAAGGAGAACTAGAGTTTAAGAATGAAGTATTACTCTTGACAAGACTCCAACATAGGAATCTAGTTAAGCTTCTTGGTTTCTGTAATGAAGGAGGTGAAGAGATTCTTGTCTACGAGCATGTCCCTAATTCAAGTCTTGATCACTTCATCTTCGGTAAGCCTTCACATGAACGATGTAATGTATTCTTTTGTCACAAGTCACAACACTTTTATCAGATTAATGAACAAATATTGTCTCTGTAGACGAAGACAAACGTTGGCTTCTTACATGGGATGTGAGGTACAGAATCATAGAAGGTGTTGCAAGAGGGCTTCTTTATCTCCATGAGGATTCTCAACTGAGAATTATTCATCGAGACTTGAAGGCGAGCAATATCCTTCTAGACGCTGAGATGAGCCCTAAAGTTGCAGACTTTGGGATGGCGAGGTTGTTTAACATGGATGAGACTAGAGGAGAGACAAGCAGAGTAGTTGGAACCTAGTAAGTTTTCTCTGTTTCAGACATAAATGCTCTGTTTTTGACATGAATGCTCTGTTTTTATCAGAATCCTGCAGACATATAGAGATTCTTGGATTCAGCATCACCATTAATGTGATTATCGTTCTTGCAGCGGATATATGGCTCCAGAGTATGTAAGACACGGACAATTTTCAGGTAAATCTGATGTTTATAGCTTCGGTGTTATGCTTTTGGAAATGATAAGCGGTGAAAGAAACAAGAACTTCGAAGCAGAAGGACTTCCAGCTTTTGTAAGCTTCTTTCTTGATAACATTTTACTTATATTTTCAAAACCTTATAAGTTATAACTAACACTTTCTTTTGATTCAGGCATGGAAGAGATGGATTGAAGGAGAGCCTGAGAAAATAATCGATCCTTACTTAAACGAGCATCCGAAAAGCGAGATCATCAAGTTGATTCAGATTGGTTTGTTGTGTGTTCAAGAGAATGCAGCAAAAAGACCAACCATGAACTCTGTAATTGTGTGGCTTGCAAGAGACGGTACTTTTACAATACCTAAACCTACAGAAGCCGCTTTCGTCACTCTCCCTCTCTCAGTGACACCTGCTGATATATCCATGAATAAGCTTGAAGACAAAGATCCGTTTTTAGTGGATGAGGTCTCGATCACAGTGTTGTATCCTCGGTGAATCTTCTATTTCTTTTTCTGACCTCATATGCAAGTGTTGGATAGAGTAAGCTACAAGAAACATTGTTCTTATGAACTTGTTTGTACAAGGTGGTTTATTCGGATCATTCCGTTCAGTTTGGTTATTTCGGTATTGAAGTCTTTCACCTAACAATAACCAAATATTCAGTTTGATTCGGTTTGGTATTTTTGATGTTTGTGATTCAAGTAAATAATTATTTTTAACTATATATTTTAATCGAAAATACATGTTTACTATTGGATTAAATTTTTGTTCTACTATTGTAATATTTTTGACCACAAATTAGATTGGGTCAATTAGTTGAATAATTTCGGTTCGGTTTTGACTGAGTTTGATCATTTCGGTTCGTTAAACCATATGCTGAAGATTAAAAACAAAGATTCATGTTTCATTCAAGTTCTTGATTGAAATTTCGAGGTAAAATAAAATAATAAACTTGTTGTTGGTAACAAATAAATCAAATTAATGAATGAATTCATCTATACACAAAAAGAATGAAGAATGTACTCTCTAACAAAAAAACCCTAGGCCCTAGAAAAGCTTGCTTGCAAATTCATTTTCCTTAACTTGAGATAGATTCGATCTCTTCGCGAGATCTCTCAATTCTGATAAGCTTCTCCCTAGCTTCACCGCAACTCTTGTCTCAAACACTTCTCCGTTCTCTTTCTTCTCTGTCGATTTCATTGTTTCTTCTAACAGAGAGAAGAATCCAGCTGAGTTTCTATACATTTCAAATACCATTCCCACTTGACCACCATGTTCTAAAGTGTTGACAACCGCGGCCAAAGAAGCACAAGTTATCGCCACGATTCCAGCTAAACCGGAATCTTGACCGATAAAAACGGAGCTCACTGCTGAAACTCCGGTCAAGACTGGTCCAGAGATAGCCAAGAACCGGTTTAGCTTCAACGCCACGTTACCTAATCTCTCATAATCTTCCGCGTCTCTGGTCTTCACTACATGAGCAACTTCTCTCATCTCCGTCTCTAGCTCTTGGCTCCACCCGTTTGCAAGACCGGTTTTAGGGCTTTTCGGTTTGTTTTCCGGCCACCAAGCCGCCGGTTTAAACTCTTCCGGAAGCTTCTCGAGCATTGTTCCGATAAGAGGAAGAGGGTAAGCTTTGTCTAGAGACAAAACTCTCTTTATCGCTTCTTTAACATCTTCTTCCGTGACCTCCTCGTTTTCTCTTAGAAACTTTTCGAGTTCCACTCTCAACCTCTTGAACAGCCTCGTGGCATTCCTCTGTTCTTCAGTTAGCTGAGACGGTTGAATCTTGCTCATCAAGGCAGCGAAACCCGTTGCAGAGGTTAACAACACCGTTGAAGCTATCTTCACAGCGGTCACAGAATCTACCCCGTGAGCATTAACTGAGGCTAACCCGGCCATCAAAGCGGCGGTGAGAGTGATCATGTTGACAGAATTGAGCAACAGTGAGTTCCAGTTACTGCGTTGATCTCCAATGTTCTTGTGCATCTCAATCCTGTCCATAACTTCTTCAAGAACAACATTGAGACGCGCCCTTTGAATAGAATCAGAGGCTCTCCTCTGTTTCAACGAAAGAGGAAGACTCTCCACAAACTCAAAGCTCGGTTCTTTAACCGATAAAGTCTGTTTCTTTATTGGTATTTTCGGAATCGAGACGTTAAACTTCGGCAGTTTTGGGATGGAGACTGCGGCTTTAGGTCTCGAACAAGAAGTAGAAGTAGACGAAAGAACTAATCTTGATACTTGTAACGAAGCCATAAGTGTTTAGAAAAAAAGATGTAGCAATATGATGATTCTTGATTGGTTTTGCTACGTTGGTTTCTTGAAATCTCTCAAAGGAGCTTTTGTGATTGTGTTTGATGAATGAAGAGAGGTGTTATGTGTGTGTGGTATATATAAGTTTTGAGATGATAGGCATAAAACAAAACAAAGAAAATTAAAGGAATTGAATTGACCAAAGAGAGAAGAAAGTTTTGACCAAAGACCACATAATTAATGAATTTTGTTAGGTTTTGATTGTTTCTCCTGTGACGGTTTTGGTCTAACCGTAAAGCCTCCCAATTTTACCCGCCATCCTCCTTAGAACGAGTCTTAATTTCTCTTAAACCGGATCGGTTTATTTTGGTTTGTTTAGTCGTCTGTATTTTGGACTCAAACCGGTTCGGTTTTGTTTTGTAATCATTTGGTACAAAGCACTTAGAGAGAATGTAATCAATCAATCAGCACAGAGAAAAATCCAAAAAAATGGGATCTTCACCGAAGAAGACGACTCTGCAAAAGTACCTGTCAGAGCTTCAACAACATCCTTTAAGAACAAAGGTTCGAGCTTTTTCTTCTCTTCTTTGTTGTGATTTGAAAATTTGATTAATTGGGAAGTGGGTTATGTGGTTTCGTTTATTTGAGATTAGTTTACTCATCATCGATTGAGTGATGATGGTGTTGTTTTTGATTAAAAGTTTGTGTTTTTAACCTAACCCAGTTATTATAATTAATCCGATTAAGTGAGAGTATCATTTGTGATTTTTAAATAGCTCGTTGACATTTTCTTTTATGATTAGTTGGAACTCATGTGAATGATTCTAGGTTTTGTTTTTTTAATTAATGAATTTGGAGTCTGTGATTTGTAGGCCATTACTGCTGGAGTGTTGTCTGGTCTTAGTGATGTTGTATCGCAGAAACTCTCTGGCATACAGAAGATTCAGCTGAGAAGGGTTCTTCTCAAAGTGGTATAAAGCTTGAATCTTTCTCTTGTAGAACCTCCAGTTTCAAGCCAATCCTTGCTTCATTCGATAATTCAAGATGGAGTATGTGAATTGTTTGCTCATTTGGGTTCTCTCGGTTTCTTTAACAGGTATTTGCGGGTGGTTTTCTCGGACCAGCGGGGCATTTCTTTCATACATATCTAGATAAGGTTTTTAAAGGGAAGAAAGACACAAAGACTGTGGCAAAGAAGGTAAAGTTTATCCAATATCTTTAGATGATTTGTTATCTTTAAGATTGGTTTATGCTAAATGGTCTGTCTGAATGTAAAATGTTTGGTAGGTAATTTTGGAACAACTGACATTGTCACCAGTGAACCATTTGCTTTTTATGATCTATTATGGAGTAGTCATTGAAAGTAAGTTCCTCCTTCTTTCACTCCGTTTGTAAAATCGTAATTGTTGTGAATGGTGTTAAGAGTTCTTGATAACAATTCTGCAACGTTGAGTGAAACAGGAGGTCCCTGGAACCTTGTTAGAGAAAGGATCAAGAAGACTTACCCGACTGTCCAACTTACAGCATGGACGGTAAGTGAGAGATATTTATTTAGTTCATGTCCTTTATTAAAAGAATTTGATCCACAAGCAGAATTGCTGGATGATTGGTTCTATGATATTATTTACAGTTTTTCCCGGTGGTGGGATGGATAAACTACAAGTATGTGCCACTTCACTTTCGGGTCATCTTGCACAGCGTCGTCGCATTCTTTTGGTAAGACAATGATTCATTTGCTGCAGCTTCCCTCACAATGTTTTCATTCTTGTTGTTGTTACTCAATTGAAACTTCTTTGGAATCTCAACATTCTTCTTCTTTTGTTTTTCAGGGGAATTTTCCTGACCCTGCGAGCGAGGTCAACAACACTGGCTTTGGCAAAGGCTAAGTGATTGGTGAAGCAAATCTATCAAGAGAAAACTCAATCCTTGGGCTCATTATAATCTCTTAGTTACTCTGTAAGTTAAGCAAATCAAACAGCTGAAACCAAATAAAAATTTGTATTAGGATGATACCAGTCTAGGATAACAATATGTTTTAAGTTATTACAACATTTTCAGATTTTGTCTAAAACACATTCACAAACATCATATAAAAAAGGGTATTAAAGAAGAGATCTTGTTTAAGCAGCTTTGGCAAATCCAACTCTTGCTTTCCCGTAATCAAACACAGTGTGATATGGTCCCATAAAGATATCACCCAAGATCCTGCAATTTTTTTGCAGCAGGACAAAATTTTGAGTAAAGCAATTTGAGTTTTTTTTGGTTAGTGTAGATTGGATTTGTAGATGATAGTTACCAGAGAGGTCCACGAGGTGGAGGGATGTCCATGGCTGTGAAACCGCTAGTGCACTGAGTCTCAACTCCTTCCCCAATCTTGAATATATACTGATCGATTGAAAAAGAAGCAAAAAGACTTCTATTAATCTCTTTATGATGATACTGGTAAACTGAAAAATCAAAGGTTCTATTTTGATGAGAGTAGTTACATCTTGAGGAGAGAGATCAAAGGTTCTGCCACCAATTGTGAATGAGACTATAGGCATCGACGAAACCTTCTCACAGTTGACTGCTGATTGTTGGTTCTGGGTTGGTATATGGTCACATAGCTAAAAGATTTGACAGAGAATAGAGTTTTAGCATGTGTATGTCCAAAATAAGGCTTTAATACACTCTCATACTCACCTCAGCAGCATAAGCGAGTATGCGTTCTTGTGTCTTATTCTGAGTCAATTCGCTCTCCATCCATACGGCTGCCATTTCGCAGGCACTGCACATCGCTTGGTTTAGAAGACCTGATGCATCATCTACAACTGACTCAATCCCCATACTGCAGACAAAACATGAAGCAGTTTTAAGTTTGATGTCTGAAATAGTTTCTGCTTAGATTATGTCAGTACTAACCTCACACTGTGTGTACCGTCATAAGCACAGACTCCAATTTGTGAGCATACTTTCTTAGGATCCCCCTGCATGTCAAATGATGTAAAATTCAAGATTGTATTGCTAATAAGTAGACAAGTGTGTAAGTGTCATGAACAGTTCTTCCAACCTGAGCTAGAAGAGAATTCAACATGGTTTTCCCGTATTGATCCACCACGGCCTTGCATTCACGGCTTACGATTCCTTGAGCTCCAATCGCATGATTGATCATCGTGATGACAGTCTAAACAGGGAAAATGCAAAAGCAGATAGAACTATTCAGCATGTTTCAGGTGATAAACATTGCACAATCTACACAAATTTCAGCAAATTCTTTCTCACCGATGGACCGGTGAGCAGAGAAGTTCCGGAATCAGCAATGGCAGAGCAACCTTTAGCACAATATCCTGAATAACATAGAAACTCAGATGTCAAATTATGTTTGAAGGACTCATTCATGTTGAAACTGAAACATCTCAAAAGGTTACTAACCAGTTGGTTTGCCAGCAATTTGGAGATCACCCATGTCAAACTGCCAGTAACCTTTATGTGTCACTGGAACATAAGTATGCTCTCCTTTGAAGTGCTTTGGGTCAACTCCACCAAAAACTATCTCACCACCTTCTGGATCTTGCGGGTTACGGTTAAGCCAGAACGAAAAAATCGGTTCCTTAACCAGACCTTTTTCCACCATGTTATACCTATACACATCATATAAGTACATCATTTCATAATTCAGATTGCACAACAGTTCTTTATCATAGAAAGGATCAAAGAGAGCATGTTTTCATACCAAACCGGAGTTGAGTTTCCTACAGAAATCTCTTTGAAACCCAAACCGAGGATACCATCAAACTTTGCCAACAAGAATGTAATACCAGGCTCGCTAGTAGCCTCTATGAATTCCTGTGGTGATATTAGATGTAGCAGTAAGATATGAATACCAAGAAACAATAAACTCGCCAGAATATACTGAGATATATAAGCAGATGAATCAAGTTTACCTGCTCCTTGACAACAAGATCACCAACTTTAACATCATCATTGCTAAAGTAACCAGCAATAGCACCTGTTCCATAGCGGATTGATGCGGGTTTTCCTGTGTTTTCAATGAATTTTTATTGTCAAAATCTATCTGGAATGAGAAGACTTGTGCTAAACGTAACCCTTTCTTGAAAAGTTATCAAGAAACATCAAAAGTATCGATGTATAACAAGATGAACAGAGAGAACACACCGTTCTTTCTGTATGTTGATGACTGGCTAGCCTTGTACTTCGTGTGAAAATAACAAGCAACCTGAAAAACATTAAACAGAGATATTTTGTTTTGTTATCTGATGATGAATGATACAATTACATTGTCACAATTAGTATGCATTCTTAAGAACAAAATAACCACTAACGCTTACCGATAAGTAACATTTGGTAGATGGTATCCAAAGATTGGAGCTACCGGTATCAAAGATCACAGTGAACTTCTGAGGTGGAGTACCAATGGTAATGTCACCATAGTATTGAGCATCCAAATAATTCTTCAGAGGAACCATATCCGCATTAGCACCGTTTAGGCGAAAATGGTCTTTGGGAGACCAAGACCCTCCTCGGTTTTTCAAAAAAAGCTGAGAAGCTAGCCTGTTGCTCCGGTCTAGTTTCCTCTTCTTCAATCCAATTCTAATCGTTCCATCACCGTTTCGCTCACACGAGGAAGTGGATATAAGGATCAAACATGAAAGCAAGAACACTAGCAAGAAGGATTGGAACCTAGTTCCCATTTTTTTACCTATCATCAGAAAAACAATCTCACATTAAATAAAATCCTAGTTAGTTGTTACAAAAATTTCAAGCCAATATAAAATGTAAAAGTGAAAAGGTTTGAGTACCAAAAAATGTCAGATATAAACTATATACAGTAAGTCCCCACAGCAGAATCAAATAAACTCAGATTCAATCACCAAATATTACTTCCAATCAAATCTTCAGGTAAAGATCAAATGAAACATAAGAGTAACAACTGAGGAATCACAAAAGTAACAAAAGATTCACCAAATTTTCTTGCTGTCCTACAATAGAAATTCTAAAAAAACATAGTAACAAACAGAAGAAATTGAATGTTTCGACAGTTCCTACAAATTCTAGAGAAAGAAAGAAAAGAAAAATGGGAAAATAGCAAAGAAGTAAAAGAAGGAACACTCACAGAGAAAATGTGAGTAGAGAGATTCTTGAAAAGCTTTAAGTTAACAAGACGAGGAAGAATGGTGCAGGGGTTTATATTTATACGTAAATGACTTAAAAGAGAGAAACTCTCAAGAAAACACACAATAAAGTTAAACTTTTCTACTGTCAATATCAATTTAATTGAAAATAAATTTAGTTGTTGCTTGCCAGTTAAAATTTTCAGAAGTATATGAAGGTATTAAATATTTTTAAAAAGTTTTTTAGATATGAGTTAGATTCATAAGCAAGCGTCACGTTTATGTAACCTTGCTTGCCATGCATGGACCCGGACAGTTCAGCAAAATCCGTTTTGTATGTTTTCATGGAAAAAAGTTATATTCTTTTGTTTTCACTCAAAATCTGTCGACCCTTTGGAGTATATCTTATTTTCATTAATTTATGTAAAAGTTCAAAATAATTTGCATAAACTAAAGGATATATGACATCTAGTGACTATAAAAGTTTACTTTTCGATTTCTCTTTGAGTACATAGTTATGACCTATTATGATATCTTGGTTAAGTCTTGTTTAAGTTCAACATCAAACTCATTCTATTTGAAGTGTGCAAGGAAGAACCTTATATATGTCTCTTTCCAAAATAAAGAACCTTATATTATATGTATTCATTTCTCTTACTCAACTCAAATTTTAACATAATTGGTACTAATATTAGGTAAAAATCTAGAAATAATACTAAAAGTTTTAAATTATCATTTTAAGTTTAATCTTTCATTATTTTGAAATAGATACTGACAGTAAAAAAACTAGATCGAACAAATCAATTATAAATGTATATGCTAATTCAATTAAATTATTATGCTTTGCAAATCAAATGCATCCGCTGATTAGGGGGTTTGCTTCGCATTAGGTACGCTTCACGTTGAACCCATGCTTGCTTGGGTCCGGCATTGCAATATTTATCATTTTATGAACACAGTAACGTCTTTATATTAAACGTTGTCACCCTAATAATATTACCATTTCTATGTTGATTCATACCTTACAGAAAAATTATCGAAATGAATCCAAAAAACATGTATATAATTATATATTCACAAGAATATGTGGAAACTTTTTAACAAGAAAAAGGGTATAAGTTAACAGATGTTTTTGTAAAAATAAAGAATAATACAGAAAAGATGGTTTGTTTGATTGGTGTTTGCTGCAAATGGAAAACATAAGGTTGCTTTGATTTGTAGCACAAGCAAACGTCTTCACGTTGTTGACGCTGCGTTTGGGACCCCATACACACGACACGTTTCCTTAACGTTTCTCTCAACTTCTCATAATTACTTATTTAACCCCATATAATTAGTGTCTTAATAACTACTCTTATAAGATTTGTCCCAAAAAAAAAAAAACTACTCTTGTGTTTGTGAATGATGTGAGTATGAATGTTTAGAAAAAAATATGATTAAATTCTTAGGATAATAATGTTACATGATATATCGATATATAGGAATAATGACTATCTTTACCTTATAAAAGAACCAAACAAATGAAGTTTAGATATCATAGGTTTCTATTTGAATATGGGCTCACTCTTCACTTTCCCAAAGTCCAGTCCAGTCCAATCGTGACTCTTAAACTACTGTATATATTTAACCAATCTTTGAAAAAATGCTGACACTTAGTGATAAATTGATAACATCTTGCAAAAATGTTTTCACCAATCTTGAGCTAAAAGTAAGTATGTTTAGAGAAAAATTATTATTAAACTGTTACAGGATAAAGTTACATGATATTCGATATATATAGGAATGATGACTAAAGCCAATTTCATAAATTAAGATAAATTTAAATGTAAATAACATTTTTTAGATAAAAGATAAATTTCTTAAACTATAGTTTTTAGATTTTTGTAGATGTTCATGTTTTTTCATATATTTGGGCATTATCTCGATCGTCGATCTCTTGGTAATTTCTGGTTCTCTATCTCTCAAAACTTAGACCAAATTTTAGTCTGAGCATCAAATGTTAAACTCTTGCTCCATTTTATGCTTACAATAGTTCGAGGATGTTATTTATACATTGATCAGTCCATCCTAGACCTTTGTAACACAAAATTCGTTCTTCGCATAGGATTCACATATATACCAAAAATGTTATAATTGAGATCTGATCAAGGTTACCAGAACAAATCCAAAAACTTCAATCTATCGGTGAGTATCATGTTTCCAGACTATCTATGACTGCAAGTTGTAACTTGTATTAGTCTAAGTGACACAACTGCACAAGACATATTGAATTGTTTCACAAAGGCACATAGACGGGTCTACGATTTTATAGTCCAAGATGCGTATTTGACTTCATAAGAAGTCATTGCTTTCGGAAAAATTTAAGCAATCTATGTCCTGAACATAATAGTCGATCATACACAACGAATGAGATATAAAAAATTTGCTCTCAAGACTCATTGTTGTTCAGGAAAGAAAGAAAAAAAAAAAGAAGCCGTGACTAAAAATCAAAAGTTAAAAAGAAAAAAAAAACCAAAAAAAAAATCAACCAATAAAAAAGGAACTAACTAAAACATATAAAGAAAATGTTATTGTCCGTTGCTCGTCGTAACGTTACTGTTATTGCTGCTCCCATTATTCTGCTGATTATTCGAACCATTGATGATAGACGTTATGGCTGCAGCCAGAGCCGCTGCAAAGTTTGGATTCGAGGCGATGGCTGCAGTAGCGGCACTAACGCTCTCGCCAGCGTTTAGCGACTGAGACGGCATATGCAATCCTGAGAACTTAGACTGTTGGTTGTAATACAAAGCTTGACCCATCATTTGAGGCAAAACCGATTGGTTCAACTCCGCGAAACCAGACCGTTGAGAGAATTGCATCAACGGGTTATTGGTTAAATTATTACCGTTTGGTGACTCTGTGAGGTCTAATGTAATGGTTGGGAACGGTGCAGATGCTGAGATAGTGGCCATGCTTGAGGAACATGGTAACATTGTTCGAGCCAATAGATTTGTTGGGTTCATTAAACCGTCTTGGCTTGACATGGTGGAGCCTGAGAGAAGCATGCTTGCTGCTGCAGTTGTGGTCGAGGCCATACTCATAGCTGCTGGAGGTAATGGATGGTTATGGTTTCCTTCATAGGTTGTTATGAGAATGGTTCTGTCTTCCGCACAACGTTGCACCTATAGGGTTTATCATTACTTCGTTAGAACTTAGAACATATTTTATACTCTTTATTTAAACCTAATACATATTAGTTGTTTGAAATGTTTACAAATGTATGGTTAGATAGCGTACTTGCTTGCGAACGGGGCATCCATTGACCATTGTGCAACGGTAATAAGCTCGAGGGCACGGGTTTCCTTTCGCCATTTTCTGTCCGTATTTTCTCCATTGACATCCATCGCTTAACTGTAAAAACAATGTCATTGAGGTTAATTAGTCATTAGAGATACAAATCTTTATATATATATAGTCTAGAAAGAGAGGTTAACTAGTTATATAGATACCATTGGGGCTTCGGATCGAGCGCGAACGGAGACACGAGCTTTACGCATGGTGGCTTCGGCGGTTGATTGCTCGATAACATTGTTATTTCCATTGCCATTGCTGGAGGACGCGTGGTGTTTAGGAACTTTGTTAGGGGTTCTCCAGCCGTTGGATTCGGTTTCAGGGCTTTCTTCTCTTGCAAGCGCTCTCTTTCCATTTTGACGTGGGCTAGATTTCTCTAGAAGCGATGGAGGAGATCCTGACCGAACAGTAGTCCTCTCCTCGGACGATGCTTCATCAGATGGCGGTCCCAAATCGATAAACTGTCTTGGAACCATTTCGGGCACTTCATGTCGGCTCTTGGCATTGTCTTTGTTCTCGGTCGTAGCCTAATGAATCAAGAGTTACGTTTAAAACCATAGTTAATACTATAGTTGTCAGAAATGTTAAATAAATAAAAGATTATGAGGAATTAGAGTGTTAATTACCAGGTGATGATGATCTTCTTCTTGTTGCCTCATGACAGCAACAAGTTGCATCTGCAAGGAGTTGAAGTTCTTGGTTGTTTGACTTAGCATTTCCTTTAGTCTTTGGTTATCTTCACTCGCCTTCTTTAGCTCTTCTCGAAGTTGTACGTTCTTCATTTTATCAAACAAAATCATATATACATTAATGTAATTTTTTTTTTAAATGAAGTTTTATATAAACAAGTAAAAGTAAATCCCTCTAACATATCTTATCTTACGTACCAAAACAAACGAAAAAGTAAAACTAGCAATAGATTGTCAAAGTCTATGAAAACGGCATGTTTTCATTATGCTAAATCTTAAGAGAAGAAAAACAATTTGTAGCGAAATTAAAAAAAAAAATACATATTCATTTTTTGGATTAAATGGGGAAAATAAAGATTAACGGTAATAAAATCTTCAAGATTTAGCTAGTACAAAAGTATTACCGTTAAATTTGATTGATTTTAGACAATCTATGATCTTGTTAGATTTTGCAATCTATTTATCTTTTGTTCGTTTTCGTACAACGGTACAATCATTAATAAATGAGTTATTACTTGTTATTAAATTTTTATATTTTTTTTATCATTGAAGAAAAAAAAAAAAGAGCTGTATAGGAATTGAATAATAAGTGTACCTCACACTTTGTACGTTTCTCTTCCATATCCACAGACAACCCATCATCCACCATTGACTCGTCGCTTCCCGTATTCGCAGTTAGAAGATTTAGTCCAATCTGCATTTACAATTTTCATTGAAATTTTCATGAATAAAATTGTTATTTATAACTTAACAAAATAAATGATGGGAGAATTATAAGAAAAATAAAAATAAAATTAAGATTAGAATGAAGTAATCAAACTATACTTACATTGATATGATCAGTAGAACGATCGTCATGATGATCATCAACACGTGAATTGATCTCCCTTTTGACATGAACCATATGAGTCTCATCGTCGGTGATAATGTTTTGTTCATCACGTGCAACCCTATCTCTCTTCTCCGCTGATCTGAAAAAGTCAACCTCATCAACCACCGCCCGATGATGCTGCTGCTCATCAGACTGCTTGGTATTGTCACGTGGACCTCCTCCAAGACTCACCGGAAAACGAAACATCTCTCTCTCTCTATCTAAAGATATCTCAACAAGATCTTGATAGATAACTTAGGTTGTGTCTCTTTTGTTAAAAAGTACGTACGGATAAAGATTTGCTTTCTTGATGTTAGTAATCTCGAATTCCCGAAACCCTAGTTAAAAAAGAAAAAGAAGAGAGGATATGTAACTTAGCCGGATCGGATAAGAAAAGGTACTACGTACGTATCTAATTAAGAATCCTTCTCTATATATCTAGAAGAGTGTGTGTTTTGTGTGCGAGTGATTGTTCCGTACCATATCTAATGATCTCCATATATAGAGAGGTGAAGAAGAAGATATCTTAGAAGAAAGAGAAAGAGAAGATACTTTGTCGAGTATGTGGTTAGAGACGAAGATAGAGAACCAGATGCTTCGGCTACAAAAAGGGTTTTGACGTGGACTCAGATATTGTCAATTTTTTCATACTTATACTTAAATATAATTATTTTCTCTCGTATTTTTTCAATAATAAAGACAATATTGTTTATATGTGTCTATATTTGTTTTATGTATCGTTCCTTCTAGTTAATATAATATCGGTTTCAATTTGGATTCTCGTGGGAAAGATATTTGTGGAGATTTGTTTTTTGTTCGTTTTTCGTCAGTGTCGACGTCACTTGTCTCTACATAGATCCATATTATATTTAAGTATCATACGACGACCAAACCATTTTGTATTATGTTAGACCTGTCATTGCTGTTTCTTGTCAACGATGAGCTATGGTTTATTAGTTAAGGACGTTTTATTGGTTTCTTTAATATTGCCACCCCTTGCTAGTACGAATATTTTTGAAGAAGAACTAAGCTAAATGAATATGGCAGCAGAATAGTAAAACACAACCAAAATATTTTTGTTTGAGGTCAGCAAAATATCTATGTCACTTTAGAAGTTAGGTGTTATCAGAAAAATTAAAGAGCAAAGTCAAACATAAAATGAATGGTAATGAATCAAAAAATTATTAGGAAACACAAAAATCCACAATAAATTTGAAGATAAAATTAATTGAAAACAATCATCATAACATTATTTATTTATAACATATAAGTCAAAGTCATTTTCCTAATTAATAGTTAACTGTTAGGTTAGTTCATATACCCTATTCATTATCAAAATATACATAGAAACCGAAACGGTTGTTTAAACAGAATGATTAGAAACACAAAAGTAAATTAACTATTAAACAGAAAATATAAAGAGCATTTTCATTACACTTTCACAATGAGAAATAGCTAAATAAAATCGAGTAAGTAAATTTTAAGAGGTAAGTCTATATTGTTATGTGGATTTTTTTATTTAATTTTGGTTAAAAGGGTTTAGTTAGCAACATGTGGATTACGATTAAGAAAAAAAAACTTAAGAAAAACAAATACTGACCAATCTAGTCTACTGCAATAATCTTTTTCTAAAAAAAGCACTTTAATCTACGAAATTTGTTCAAAGACTTTGTCCTAATTAGTAAAACTTTAATCCTTGGTTGATCAAGTCAATATATGAGATTTGTAGAAGAAAAAAAATAAATTCTATTTTTAGGGAAGAATTCTTTGCAACCAATTCTTTTTATAGATAACAGACAAATTATTGGATTTTTACTATTTTCTTGACTAAATTAGTATATTTTTCTTTTTCCAAATTTTCAATAAGAAAGACTTTTGACTTGTTCATAGAATTAATAGATCATCAGAAAATAGAAAATGAATCTCACCGATCGCAATTCAAACGCCGCTTCCCACGTGATTGAAATTATTAGAAGCATCGTTTCTATTTAATGCTTAAAAACATGTTAAACAAATCACATAAACTCAAACACATGTACGACATTTTGTTGGATTTTGTTAAGACTTGATACATTGTATGTGCTACCTAAACATGTGTTTAGATATACCAGAATATAAACAATTTAACTGTTGAAAAATTCATCATATAAATCGAAAGACTAAGATTTGAGTTTTTCTCTTTGATAGTTAAGGTTAATCATAACTAGTCTATGTTTAAGTCTTAATAGACTTTAATGCTTAAAAACATGTTAAATGTAAATCACATGAACTTAAAACATGTACGAGATTTTGTTAAAATTTTGTTGAGACTCGATACACTGTATATATCACCTAAACATGTGTTTATATATATCAAATATATATATATATATATCAAAATATAAATAATTTAATATATAGTTGAAAGATTCATCTTATATATAAATCGAATGACCAAGGACGTTCAAGTTTTTCTCTTTGATAAGTTTAATCATATGTTGAAGTCTTAATATACTTTATTTGTTTATGGATTTTAACTGGATTATTATTTTATTTTTTTGACAAAATAATAATTCAAGCATAATCGAAATTGACATTAATAACACCAATTAATATAGGTAAATGAAATTACAATATGAAACGATAAAAAAAGGTAGTTAAAATGGTCTGTGGATTAAATTTAGTCAAAATGGTTTGTGGAGTAAAATTGAATCGACTGCACAAATCATTTGTACACAAATTAAATTTTTGACCCAAAAAAATGATCAGAAACGTTTTCACAATTAGTTTAAATACTCACAAATTTCTTTTATTTTTAATTCTTATTTAAAAAAAAAAAAATAGATAAGAGTTTGTGCTAAGTCAACAAGATTAATAAGATACCTCACACATTTATGATCGGTGTGATTGGCTGTGAGTCTTATTGAGTTTTCTATAAATAAAACTGTTGACTATCACTCACCGTCGGACCCGATCACTCCTTTGACTTCTCATCCTCTATCAATGACGAATAAATTGATTCTTTATATTTCTTGAAAACAAAAATAATTATATAAAATTGTTATACCGCTTTTTTTTTTCCTTATTCTCTTTATTGTTTGTGTATGGAGTATAATTTAAGAAGAAATAGTCAAAACATTATATTTGACATACATTGTATAGTCTTATTGACAGGAAGGTTTCATGTCATTTTGTTATCTGAATATAGTCTTTTTCGGTCTGTGACTCTACCAAAATTCAATTAAGATATTTGACGATTCGTTCAATACTTTGATATATATATATATATATATATATATATATATATATATATATATAGGTCAAATGTAGTTAACTACCTGATACAAGAGCAAGACTATAAATAATTATATATACATGGGCGTAAATTGTAATCTAACTTATAGCATAACTTGCCAATGGTCACATATATATGGATTAGACCGACCATGCACGTCCTAAACAATTTCAAGTATACAAATCATCTCTACTCTATTGGTCCACAATTATTTTTATCAGTCATAATTAACATTCATAAACTTGGTATTTTTGTAATTGGCAAATGTAGTAAATGGTATTTAATAATATCTAATGATTCCGACCAAACAAATAACATAATACCTAATGATTATATATTGCAATTTTATACATTTGGAGGTTTGCTTCTTATTATTATTTTTTCTTACATTCTTTATGCGACAAACTGAACGCCGGAGTAAGCATGTCAAATTGTCAACTATCATGATTCATGAGTCATGAAAATGATTTGGGAGTAAACTATTAATCTCGACTTTATAATCAATGAACAAAATTTAATTAGATGAAGTTAGAAAACTCAGCCGGAAAACAAATGGAATTGCAACTGCGCTGACCAGTGACCGGCCCATCCCGGTTGTGATGAGTTTGAGAAATTCATTTTATGCTAAAGAACATTTTCATTTTACTAAATTATATATTATAGGCCTAGCTTTGTACATATTTATTTTTCAGATCGTAGACCTATAATATATACAGTAATCAGTTTTGTATGTATGTAATATATAATCAGTTTTTAAACGTAGTTTAACTTCCTATATATTTCTAGAGTCAAAAATTGTTTTAGTCCAATGTTTACAACAATTATAAATAATTTCTAAAGTCAAAAATTATCCTTTATATATATAGAGCAATAGCTTTTCGCCAGTGTTTCTCTTACAAAATTAACAAAGCCATTACATTGGAATTTTACCTTCTCATAAACTAAGTTGCCTAGAAATAATATTCAGGTCATAAAAAAAAACCATATTGTTAAAGCAATTGTAACAAATATCAGCATAACGATTGAGGATTTATAAAGAACCATGAAAAAACCTGTAGTATCTTAAGCAAACATTGATTTAACATCTGCTGTTATAGCTTCCTCCTATAGCTACTAGAAACATTAGATACTAAAACGTCCAAAAATAATTTAGTAGAAAGAAATATAAAATAAAAACACAAAAGATCGAGTAAATTTGCCCCTTCGTAGTCGTTGCCTCCTCCAGTCTTCCAAGTCACTGGATTTGAACCAAACTTGGAACATAAGTTAACAAAGGTGACATACATGAACTCATTGTAGATGCCTCAAAATCCACTTCCATAACTTTATTATCTCCCTCAGTTATGATCATGTATTCTTCCTTGAGCTCATGTACTTTCCTATGCCAACACACGACAAATTTCTTCTCTTCTTCGACCAAAAACCTAACTCCGTAGTTAATATAAATTTTGGATGAATCTACTACCAAGAATATGCTCCACGATACCACGTTGGTCTCGTCAATCTTATTTGTTACCCATATTTCTGTCCGTGACGTATTTTCATGCTGTAATAACATAGAAAGTTTTTCTTCTTTAACAACGGAGAGAGCTATATTCCAAAGACTAAAGCTAGAACAGTAACATGGGAGACACATACGTCCAAATATCTCTGTTGAATAATCAAAACTGGCTAAGAATAATGCTTTTTGATGGTTTTCTCCATTATCTTCAGCAAACCAGTAAGTCTTTCCCTTCAAAGACACCTTGTAATCAATATAGATTAATCTAAAGTCCAAAGCGACGTCAAGAGTCTTCCATGAATTAGTCTTAATCTCATAAATTGCAAATTCTTTCAGTTGGTAATAGCACAATATTTTGTAGCTGTTGTTATACCCGGAATTCTTGTCTTTGTAGGATCCGAGCGCAAAGGTGGAGTAGACTGTCTTGTAAGGAACTGTGGTTTGGATGGTTTGACCAGTACATGGGTTCCAAACGACGAGACTCGTGCTATCTTTGATGGTGCATAACAATAAGCCATCGTAGTGAAAAGCTTTAGATATATCAGCTATTCTTAAACTAGGATGAGAATTGATTAGGCTAAGTTCACCTATTACACCTATAGATGAAAACCCATGTAGATTGATGTTCATCAAACAAACCCTTGAATATTCCTCTGTCAACATGATAATTAGAATATGTCTTGCGGCTTTATCGAAGTGCTTTCTTGCAAATCTTGCATCGTCCAATAAAAGATTCCATCTTTTGCAAGTAGATCGTAACCTTTTCAGAGATGTGGCCGGAACGTAACAGAGTATCTCCTCTACTACATCCCCTGGAAGCTCCGACATCGTCATAGGTGCGGCTTGTGTTTTTTTTTTTCTTTTTACTTAGGGTTTTAATTAGTTGCCTCCGTAGAGCAGTAATTCGTAAATATATATATGGTAACGTTTCAAATTATGGTTTGGTGTTGGTTCGGTTCTGTTTTATATAAAACTGATAAGTAAACCATTACGTAAATCAATATCTTCTTCACAAGTTTTTTTTGTTTGTTTTTATAAAACCCATGAGCTATATATGATGTTATACTCCAACTCTGAACTCTCTCATTAATTATTTCTCATCAGCTTTTCGCCACTATTTCACTTGCTATTCTTACAAAATCAACAAAGTCATTACATTTCTCATAAACTAAGTTGCCTGCAAATATTCATATCATCAAAACAAAACTATATTTAATGTTTAATGCAATTGTAACAAAAATCAGCAAAATGATTGAGGTTTATACAAGAAGGATCGTTTCGTGCAAAAAAAAAAAAAAAACTTATTGTTTTAATTATTTTAAAATGAAAAAATGTTGTAAAACAGATTCAAACCCAAGACTTATTGTACAAACTAAAACAAACACAAAACAATTACACCACAAAAACTTATATATTATTTTGTCGTCTATGTCTTCTTTTTCATCAAACACGTAAGTAAACAATCTATGTGATCACAAGAAAAGTTCGAGTGATTCACAAATCAATAGAACATATATAAAGCGATCTGCAGTTAATTCAACAACTCTAATACTCTATCTATCATAAAATTGAAAAGCCACAGTCAAAGCGTCCACAACTCTTAGATCTTGTATATGCTGCGTCTAAGGAGCATACACGCACAAGCATTAATTAATCCCAGCAAAAGTTGTTTTCGGACAAGACAATCGAAAATCTTCAACAGATCTGACAATGAGTATTATACTTTATCGTTGTATAACTTTAACTAAAGTTGTTGTGTTTGTTTTAGTTTGAACTTTGAACTATAATAGGTAGTGGCTTTGAATCTATTTTGCAACACTCTTATACATTAAGTTGCAAAAAAAGAAAAACACAAAAGATGGAGTCATTTACATATATAGTTGCCTCCTTCGGTCTTCAAAGTCACTGGATTTGAACCAAACTTGGAACATAAGTAAATAAAGGAGGGCTATATGATGTACTCCTCGCATATGCTTCAAAATCCACTTTCCTAACCTTATTATCCTCCTCAATTATGTGTACCACGTTTTCGTAACTGACCACACTTTTCATATGCCAATACACGACAAATTTCTTCTCTTCGTCGACCAAAAACCTAACTCCAGAGTCAATATCAGTTTTGGAATAATCTACTGCCAAGAACATGCTCCACGATACCACGTTGGTCTCATCAATCTTATTTGTCACCCATATTTCTGTCCGGACCTAGTATATATGGTAAAAGTTTTAGATTTTGGTTTGGTACGGTTTGGTTCGGTTTTATATAAACCTTATAAGGAAACCATAACGCAAATCAATATCTTCTTTTCTCGGCCAATCAATGACTTCTTTATAGTGATCGTTCACGCTTTGATCAAAACCATGGAGCTATGATCAGAGCTACCTCTTTCCTAAACTCCACCAAGTATCTCAACTCTCTCACTAACCATTTGTCTCCCCATTCTCTTCCATGCTTGTCAATAGACTCTTACCTGATACTTTTACATTTACTCATTCCCTAGTCTTCTCAAAGCATGTGCAGGCAAATTGAAGATTTATGTTTTGTCACCTATTACTCTTGTTCTAAAAATCTTGTCCAGCTTCGATTACTCCAGATTAGTTATTAGGTTCACCTTATCCATTTCGATTACTGAGTAATCCTTTGAAAAAATCAGTCACCCAATTACTGTCTAATTTAATTATTCCTTGTCTAATGTTACATATCACAATTATTTAGATTGCAAGTATAAACCAATTTTTTTTCTTTTTGTTATTTATACATTTAGATTGGAAGTGTGTGATGTTACGTTTTACAATAACTTATGAACAAAATTTTAATAAAAATATATAACCGATTGCGGAAAAATCTACCCAAGTGCTCGACTAGCCTAAGTGCCTAACAGTATTTTAAACAAGGCCTATTACTGTTTACTAAATCAACAAGGTCATTACATTGGAAATTTAACCTTCTTCTCATAAACTTTAGTTGCCTGCAAACATTCATATTATCAAAACAAAACCATATTTTTAATGCAATTGTAATAAAAATCAGCAAAATGATTGAGGTTTATAGAGAACCATAAATAAAAGTTTTGGGCAAAATAATCATCTAAATCGCCATATTTTACAAATTTTGACGGTGATTGACAATTTTTTTTTTAAAAACATCTAGATCCAGAGTTTGGGATTTTATACAATCAATTATGTTTGAAGTTTTCGTGAAAATCATAAGCAATTTTTCCGCTAGGTACTAAGTCTATCTGTAGCGAGTTTTTAAACAATCCATCCTTACTGATGATCTCTTAAGCAATTGTAACAAAAATTAGTATAATGACTGAGGTTGATAAAGAAACATAAGAAATAGTTTTGTACAAAACAAACCCTCAAAATCGTTATTTTTTGCAATTTTACATATAAACTTGTAAACGTTCAAGATAATATTGTGAAGTAAAAAATAATATGCAACATAACCCATCGTAATTACCGTCAAAATTTGTAAAATGTTAAGAAATAGTAAATTAAATCGAAACCTCAACGATGAGGAGACCAAATCTACGTACAATTAAAATTTTGAACCAAACATGGAACATAAGTAAACGAAGGTGACATACATGAACTCATTGTAGATGCATCCAAATCCAATTCCGTAACTTTATTATCCTCCTCAACTATGTGTATCATGAATTTGACATAAAGCACACGTATCCTATCCCAACACAAGATAATTCTCTTCTCTTCGTCGACCAAAAACCTTACTCCAGACCTAATAGGAATTTTGGAATAATCCACTGCCAAGAACATGCTCCACGATACCACTTTGGTCTCATCAATCTTATTTGTCACCCATATTTCAATCTGTGACATATTTGAGCCAGGTAATAACACGGAAAATTTATCTTCTTTAACAACGGAGAGAGCTCTAGTCCAAAGACTGTATCTAGAATAGTAATATGGAAGACACATACGTTCAAATATCTCTGTTGTATAATTAAAAATGACTAAGAATAATAAACCTTCGTGGTTCTCTATTTTATCTATCATGAATTAGACTTGATCTCATAAATTATAGCACAATATTTTGTAGCTATTGTTATATCCGGAATTCTTGTCTTTGTAGGATCCGAGCGCAAAGGTGGAGTAAACTGTCTTGTAAACGCAACCGTTTCAACTGTAGTATCTTAACCAAACATAGAGTAGAGCAAGATTATTGGGGAGTTCTTAAGTTTGCTCTTAACAATATTTTGCTTTTAAAATGGTAAGAGCCTCAATATTTTTTGCTCTTAATTAAGAGATCATTCTTACCAAAAATCACTTTTTGCTTTAAATTAAGAGGCTATCTTTGCTCTGATGAGAGACTACCAATAATCATTTCTTAAGCTTCCTCCTCTAGGTATTTGAAAAATTAATAATAAACTTTTCAAAAATAATTTTTTTTTTTTAAAACACATAAGAACGAGAAATTTTATTGTGGAAGCTCCCTTAGTCCAGTGGTTGACGAATGGTTGTTTAAAGATTTTACACCAAGAGGTATGAGTTCGACGCCTAGGTAATGCGATTTATTAGTTTGCAAATTAAAGAGACAAGTTTACATAAGTTCTATAACAATGCACAATAGAGTTGTTCGCCGTGATTCTACGCATGGAGAATGAGGTGTCGTCAGAAAAGGGTGTAATCTGTGGTGAAACTAATAGGGTCGGACAGAATTTTCGGTAGTAGAATCGTCATTGTAACAATTCTCATAATTTGCAATAAATAATAAATCAAGAGTTAAAAAAAAAGGGAGAAATTTACAAACACTATATAGTTGCCTCCTCCGGTCTTTCAAGTTACTATATTTGAACCAAACTTGGAACATAAGTAAACAAAAGAGGGCTAGATGATGTACTCATCGTAGTTGCCTCAAAATCCAATTTCCTAACTTTATTATCCTCCTCAATGATGTGTACCATGTTTTCGCCATTGACCACACCTTTCCTATACCAATACACAACAAATTTCTTCTCTTCGTCGACCAAAAACCTTACTCCAGACCGAATATCACTTTTGGAATAATCTAACGCCAAGAACATGCTCGACGATACCACATTGGTCTCATCAATTTTATTTGTCACCCATATTTCTATCCGTAGCTTACTTGGGCTCTGTAATAACACGGAAAGCTTTTCATCTCTAACAACGGAGAGAGCTGTAATCCAAAAACTACTTACAGAATAGTAAAATGGAAGACAAATACGTTCAAATATCTCTGTTGTGTAATCAAAACTGACTAATAAGACACCATAGTGGCCCTTTCTTTTATCTACTGCAAAACAATAAGTCTTTCCCTTCAAAGACACGCTGTGCCCCATCCAGATTACCTCAAAGTCCAAAGTGAGGTCAAGAGTCCTCCATGAATTAGACTTAATGTCACAAATTGAGAATCCTTTCCGGCCGTTATAACCATAATGATAGCACAATATTTTGTAGCTACTGTTATATCCGGAATTTTTGTCTTTGTAGGATCCGAGGGCAAAGTTGCAGGAAAATATCTTGTAAGGAACTGTGGTTTGGATGGTTTGACCGGTACATGGGTTCCAAACGACGAGACTAGTGTAATCATTGATGGTGCATAACAATAAGCCATCGTAGTGAAAAACTCTATCTATGTCAGCTATTCTTAAACTAGGATGAGAACTGATTAGGCTAAACTCACCTTTTACACCTATTGATGGAACTCCATGGAGATTGATGTTCGTCGAACAAACCCTTAATTTCTCTGTCAACATGAGAATTAGAATCTGTCTTGCGGCTTTCTCGAAGTGCTTTCTCGCAAATCTTGCATCGTCCAATAAAAGATTCCATGTTTTGCAAGTACATCGTAACCTTTTCAGAGATGTGGCCGGAACGTGACAGAGTATCTCCTCCACCACATCTCCTGGAAGCTCCGACATCGTCATAGGTGCGGCTTGTTTTTTTTTTTACTTAGGGTTTTATTTTAGTCGTAAAATATATAGTAATGTTTAAATTTTTGGTTTGGTACAGTTTGGTTCGGTTTAATATAAAACTGATAAGTAAACCATCACGCAAATCAATATCTTCGTTATAGTGTCGTCTTCATCATTTACGTTTTGATCAAAACCATGGAGCTATGATCAGAGCTTCGTCTGTGCTTAACTCCACCAAGTACTTTAACTCTCTCATCAACCATTTCTCATCTCATGGCGAATATAAGCAAGTTCTCGCCACATTCTCTTCCATGCTCGCTAAAAGGCTCTTACCTGATACTTTTACTTTCCCAAGTCTTCTCAAAGCTTGTGCTTCTCTTCAGCTCTTCTCTTTCGGTCTCTCGATTCACCAGAAAGTTCTCGTTTATGGGTTCTCTTCCGATTTCTACATCTCGTCTTCACTGGTCAATTTCTACGCAAAATTCGGCGTTTTGGGTCATGCTCGGAAAGTGTTCGACGAAATGCGTGACCGGGATGTTGTACACTGGACTGCCATGATTGGGTGTTACTCACGCGGCGGGATTTTGGAAGAAGCATTTTTGTTGGTGAACGAGATGAGATGTCAGGGGATTAGTCCAAGTCCGGTTACGTTGTTGGAAATGCTTAGTGGGGTTTCGGAGATTAGGCAGTTACAGTGTTTACATGCCTTTGCGGTGGTTTATGGGTTTGATTGTGATATAGCTGCGATGAACTCTATCTTGAATTTGTATTGCAAGTGTGATGGTGTTGGTGATGCTAAGGATTTGTTTGATCTGATGGAGCAGCGAGATATGGTTTCATGGAACACAATGATTTCAGGATTTGCTTCCGTTGGTGATATGACTGAAATTTTGAAACTTTTGTACGGAATGAGAGATGATGGTTTAAGACCTGATCAGCAGACATTTGGAGCCTCACTTTCAGTGAGTGGAACAATGTGTGACCTTGATATGGGAAGAATGTTGCACTGCCAAATTGTAAAAACTGGTTTTGATATAGAGATGCATCTCAGGACGGCATTGATAACTATGTATTTAAAGTGTGGAGAGGAGGAAGCTTCATATCGAGTACTCGAAACCATTCCCGATAAGGATGTTGTTTGCTGGACAGTCATGATCTCAGGACTTATGCGGTTAGGTAGAGCGGAAAAAGCACTGATTGTTTTCTTGGAAATGTTACAGTCAAGATCAGACCTATCAAGTGAAGCGATAGCTAGTGTTGTAGCGTCTTGTGCTCAATTGGGTTCCTTTCATCTCGGCGCTTCAGTCCATGCTTATGTACTGAGGCAAGGATATACACTAGACACTCCTGCGTGGAACTCTCTTATCACAATGTATGCAAAGTGCGGTCATTTGGACAAAAGTTCAGTTGTTTTTGAACGGATGAATGAAAGAGACTTAGTTTCGTGGAATGCGATTATCTCTGGTCATGCCCAGACCGGAGATCTGTGCAAGGCCTTGATATTGTTTGAAGAAATGAAGTTCAAAACTGTGCAACGAGTTGATTCATTGACAGTTGTCTCGCTTTTACAAGCCTGTTCATCTAATGGAGGCCTCCCAGTAGGGAGACTGATCCACTGTATTGTACTCAGAAGCTTCGTCAGGCCATGTTCCTTGGTTGATACAGCTCTGGTTGATATGTATTTGAAATGTGGCTATTTAGAAGCTGCACAGAGGTGTTTTGATTCAATCTCGTCAAAAGATGTTGTTTCATGGGGCACACTCATTGCAGGGTATGGCTTTCATGGTAAAGGGGATATCGCTTTGGAAATTTACTCAGAGTTTATTCGCTCTGGAATGGAGCCGAACCACGTGATATTTCTTGCGATTCTCTCATCTTGTAGCCATAATGGAATGGTTCGGCAAGGTTTGGAAATATTTAGTTCAATGGTTAGTGGTTTTGGTGTTGAACCGAATTACGAACACCTTGCTTGTGTGGTTGATCTTCTATGTAGAGCTAAAAGAGTGGAAGATGCATTCAAGTTCTACAAAGATAATTTTATGAAACCTTCGATCGATGTCTTGGGTATAATACTAGATGCTTGCCGTGCATATGGGATAACAGAGGTCGAAGATATAATTTGTCAGGATATGATTGAGTTACAGCCAGTGGATGCTAGACATTACGTTAGGCTTGGACATTCTTTTGCTGCGATGAAGAGATGGGATGATGTGAGTGAATCATGGAATCAGATGAGGTCTCTCGGCCTGAAAAAGCTCCCGGGATGGAGCAAAATCGAGATAAACGGGAAAACCACAACATTTTTCGTAAATCATTCTTCACATTCAGATGGAACAGTGTCTATGTTAAAACTTCTTAGCAGAGAAATGGTGCAGTTTGGTTCAAAGAATCTATGTGATCAGTCTAATAATATAGCCACGGCTCAAGTGTCAAACATAATTATTACATAAATTATATAATTGCAGAGCATTTGCTAAAAATAGGATCTAATAATGCGATAAGTTTGGAAGGGATCCAATACTTGGGGGAGATTTCAGGAGATCAGTTACAGATAATCTTCTAAGATTCAAACAAAAGGGAAGACACCATTAATTTGCAGAGAAAAGGAAACAGAGAGATGACCAGAAAACAAAAGAAGACCGCAAAGGTGGTAACAGTGGTAATGGGACTGTGTATTGTCACCTACATTGCAGGACCGTCTCTGTATTGGCATCTAAACGAGACCATTGCAGATTCTCTCCATTCTTGCCCTCCTTGTGTCTGTGACTGTTCTTCTCAGCCTCTCCTCTCCATCCCCGACGGTAATATCATCATTATTGCTGTCCTTCCTTTATTCTTTCCCTGGTCACAAAACCCAACTTTTGATGTGTATGGTTCAATGTTCTTCTGCAGGATTGAGCAATCACAGTTTCTTGGGTGAGTATTTTTCTGCCAATAACTTTTTTATACGTTTGGTAAACATGCTAAAATAAGCATTCACAGATTTTATGCACGCTTTTGTTGGTTCTTGTTTCATTGCCAAGATTGCATGAGGCGTGAGGAAGGAAGTGAAGAGAACGAGAGTAGTTTCACTGAAATGGTAGCTGAAGAGCTGAAGCTAAGAGAGGCACAAGCTCAAGAAGACGAATGGCGGGCAGATAGGTTGCTGCTAGATGCTAAGAAAGCAGCGTCTCAGTATCAAAAAGAGGCTGATAAATGCAGTATGGGGATGGAAACATGTGAGCTAGCAAGAGAGAAAGCAGAGGCAACTCTAGATGAACAGAGAAGAGTATCTTACATGTGGGAGCTTCGAGCTCGGCAAAGAGGATGGAAAGAAGGAATTGTTACTTCTGATGTTCTCTAAGAACAGATTTTTTTGCTTCTGAAGAAATCTTTTTCTATATAATGGAGACTCTTCAATACAAATTTTGAGTTAACCCAATATAAAAAATCTGTTCATTTGACAGGTTCTGTAACTGTTTCTTTCTTTCTAAAATCCTACTTTTTAGTGACCTTGACATTAGTCCGGTCTAGGATAACGTTGAGGATCTTCCCAGGCACGTAGATTCGCTTCTTGATTGATTGTCCGTCTAGATACTTTCTGAGTTTCTCGTCCTGTGAAGCTAGATCAAAAGCATTATCTTCAGAACATCCTTCTTCAACTTCTATAGTGCCTCTCGTCTTGCCGTTTATTTGAACTGGAAGAACAATAGTTGTGTTCTTTAGGTAATCCGGGTTTGCCTGCATCAAGAACCAAAGTCAGTACCGCAAAAACACTTCCTCTGTTGTGTTTATATGTTTAGATTACTATCTCTACCTTAGGGAAGCTTTCATAGGCCAGAGAATTCGGATGGCCTAACCGTGACCAAAGCTCTTCAGCCATGTGAGGCGCATAAGGTGAGAGCAAAAGAACGAAAGGCTCAATGATTCGTCTAGGTTGACTATTCCACTGTCAAAATAAGGAGAAACCAGAAAAAAGATCAGTACTTTTGAGGCAGAGACAAAGCTGACTGATATAAGAGTCTAAGATTAACCTTATATGCGGCATTAACAAACTCCATCATTCCTGAAATTCCCGTGTTGAAACGTGTACTCTCAATTTCCTCTGTTACCTGCAATTTTACATACCGATTATTAGTAAGATGTATTCAAATTGCAAAGGGATAGTTTTTGGGAATGAGATGACCTTAGCTATGCATTTATGAAGAGTTCGGAGTTGTTCAAGGGTCGGTTCATCATCAGTCACTATGGTCCCTTCTTTGAAAGAACCGTCGGATTGAGGCAAACCGATGACTAGTCTCCATGTTCTTGCCAAGAAACGATGCACACCTTCAATCCCACTCGTATTCCAAGTTTTTGAGTCCCTGGTAGAAGGAAATGCAGGAATATATAAACACTAAGAAAGCGTTAAACCTCAAGAAAAAGTTTTGGGATTGAAGTTTACCTAAATGGTCCCATGAACATCTCATACAAACGTAGAGAATCTGCACCATACTCTAACACAACATCATCAGGATTTACGACATTTCCTCTACTTTTGCTCATTTTATAAGCTCGTGGAATTAGACGAATGCTAGGCTCCTCCTTCAGAACAAAATGATCTCCGGACTTCATAACCTACACCATTAAAGATCATAGGTTAAAACAGAGAAGAGCTTATTAGTTTTAGTGAATGTGAAAGCTAGGCTCCTCCTTCAGAACATACTCTTTCTTCAGGAATTGTCACTTGTTGATGTTCATTTAACCGTTCTTCGGTATCTGCAGATACATAGTTTCCTTCTTGGTCTTTCCAAGCAGTATACTGGACCTGCATTGTAACAATATTACGAAAAAAGATTCGACAGAATTTGTAAATATGAAAAGGCGAGAAACTTACTTCTCCAAGGATGATTCCTTGATTTATGACACACTTGAAGGGTTCTTTCGTCGACACAACACCAATGTCATATAGTACCTGTGTTATACAGCAACAGAGCTTACGGTTGGATCACGAAATAGCTAAAAGAAAGAGAGGTCTCAAAAGACACACACCTTATGCCAAAACCTCGAGTATAGTAAGTGTAAAACAGCATGTTCAGCACCACCAACATATACATCTACTGGGCTCCAGTATCTGCCACAAGGAAAATACTTAATTTTTACTTAATGGAGAGTAAATTGATTGCTATCTGTAAAAGGCTCTCACTTTTCTTTTTCCTTGTCAACTAATGCTTCAGGATTTTTTGGGTCCATGAATCTCAGATAGTACCTGGAGACAAAAGTAATATTTTGAATTTACAATAAAGGAAAATCAGGTAATTTTGTTTGGTTTCTCAGTATAAAACTCAACATCCATCAACAACACTTCGGGTAATTTATTCACCAAGGTTATAGATCCACCATTTCAGCTTAGCCTGTCCTAGAACTATCACTAGTAGAGAGCATCAAGGATTCTCAACTGGCAGATCCATTTTTTGTAACATGGAAACTATATACAAGAATCAAGAAGGGTAAAGAGCTTATAAATAAAAATTTACCAGCAAGACCCAGCCCATTGTGGCATGGTGCTTGTTTCTCTTTTGGCAGGTTTCTCTGTTGTAGGATCTAAGGTGTTTACCTGCAAAGACATCGATCATAACCAAAAACTGTACAGTGATATTTTACATATCGAGAAACGAATCATATAAACTGCAAAACATACCCATGAAACTGCTTTTGACAGTGGTGGTTCCCCTGTTCCAGTGGGAGTAAAATCATTTAACTCGGGCAAAGTGAGGGGCAGTTCAGATTCTGAAACGGCAATGGTTTTTCCAGATTCATCCAAAATTAAGATTGGTATAGGTTCACCCCAGTAACGCTGCCGTGCAAATAGCCAATCTCTCAACTTGTAATTTACCTGCCAAAACCCTTTTGTGTAAGGCACAAGATGAAAAGTATGTACATAATCCAAATGAGAATGACATGATGATGAACCTTCTTCTTTCCATTGCCAGTACTGTCAGCCCATTCAATAACTTTTAAAGCAGCTTCTTTGCTAGATAGTTGATTTATGTCAAGTCCTGTTTCTAAACTTGAGGAATTCTCAATTATGCCCAATCCAGGATAAACTTGCTTGGCATCATCACTTGAATTTGCCTCATTCTTCACAACCCACTTGATCGGAATGTTATACTTCAACGCAAACTCATGATCCCGAGTATCATGAGCTGGGACCGCCATGATTGCTCCGGTTCCATAACTGTCACATATAAGAAAGTTCTCTGTTTCATACAAATTCAACTCAAAGCAATGTAGATAACTAGACCGAACTTACCTTGCTAGAACATAGTCAGCTACCCATATGGGAATAGCATCCCCATTAGCTGGATTTTTCGCATAACATCCTGTAAATACGCCTGTCTTTTCCTTCTGAAGTTCTGTTCTTTCAAGATCACTTTTCCTCGAAGCAAAATCTTTGTATTCCTCAACCTGCAACCATAAGAGAGGACTCATGAAATCATGAAAGGCAAATAGTATGACCGAAAGAAATTAAAAAATCACTTACTTGTTGTTTCTGTTCTGCAGTTACAAAGTAAGACAGTAATTGATGCTCTGGTGCCACAACCATGTAACTAGAAATGTAAAAAACAGATCATATAAGACAATCAAAATAAAAAATTTAAGTTTTTGAGTAATAATTACAGTTAATCCGCTAAGCATACGTTGCTCCAAAAAGGGTATCTGGTCTTGTGGTGTAAACTGTAATCTCTTTGTCAGTTTCTCGGCCTTCGCCATCAAGAATCGAAAAATTCAGTTCAGCTCCTTCAGATCTTCCAATCCAGTTTCTCTGCATTTCCTTTATACTTTCAGGCCACTCAAGCTCGTCTAAATCTTCTAAAAGACGATCAGCATACGCAGTAATCTTCAGCATCCATTGCCTCATCGGCTGCTTGGTAATAAACAATGTCACTGTAAAATTCATGAGAACTTTCAAAACAGAGGAATGCAGATTTCGGAAGGGGGAAAAAACATATTCCCAGATGGTAAAAGATATTACCTTTCTTATAACTGGGTGACCACCACGCTCACTTACACCATCCACCACTTCCTCATTTGCCAAAACAGTACCAAGAGCCGGGCACCAATTGACCGGTACTTCAGCCTGAATTTACAATCTTTCTAAGAACTTTTCTATACAATAATGCACAGTTTTAACTTGTGAACTAGACAATGATTTTATTGACCTGATATGCCAAACCTCTCTTATAAAGCTGAAGAAAGATCCATTGTGTCCATTTGTAGTAGTCTGGCTCTGTCGTAGAAAGTTCACGGTCCCAATCGTATGAGAAGCCCAGCGATTTGAGCTGCAAACAAACAAAAGAACCACATTCATTAAGCTCCCCGGATCTTTATTCCCATGGTAAGAGCTAACCAAAACAGTCCAAAGCAATGGCTTTTATTACATCTAAACATTATTAAAAGATCCTTTTGAATAATCTTCAAGGATCAGTAATCCTAAACCATGAAACAAGCATAAATTTCTCACAACCCAACCGATAATAAAACTTTGAAATTTCTCCTTTCAGGGAAATGATAAAAGAAATACATCACCTGCAAACGGAAGCGGTCAATGTTCTTCAACGTTGTAGCCTTCGGATGAGTTCCTGTCTACAACACAGATAACAAAAACCAATTAAGACTTTAACAGTTTATCATCAAAACTCAAAAACATTCATACTGATATGATACACAAACAAAAAAAAACTGAACCTCAATAGCGTATTGCTCTGCAGGCAATCCAAAAGCATCCCATCCCATAGGATGCAAAACATTGTAACCTTGCATACGCCTAAGCCTCGCTAGAATATCAGTTGCTGTATAACCCAATGGATGCCCCACATGTAATCCTGCTCCACTGAAGAACAAACCACAACAACAACAACACACGCAAAAATTCATCTTTTCCACAAAATCTATCATCTAAAGGATGCTACTTTATGGAAATTTTTGAAAAACCCACAACTTTAAGCTGAAATAGCTTCTCAATTAGATAGATTTGTGAACTTTCCTACATAATCAGTATATAAAAAAAGAACAGACCTTGGATATGGAAACATGTCGAGGACGTAGAACTTAGGTTTCGAAGTATCGACATCGTCTGGTGTCCGGAAAGTACTGTTATCTTCCCAATAACGTTGCCACTTAGGCTCAATTTCGTGAAATGGATAGACCCTTTTCAATTCAATAGATGTCTTCACCGTTTCTGACACCAAAGATTCTTTTTTTCGGTTTCCATTGTTACCCTGAGCCTCTGTCGCCGAACTCCTCACTCTGGTGTGATTAGAGCGACGCCACCGGAAACGAAGACCAGGAAAAGACTGCTTTGGAGGAGACTGGAGAGTGAGAGAGCTGGTGAGGCGTGTGTGGCGACAACAGTGTGACAGCACAAATGGGTCAGAGCGAAATTGGAGGATTTGATGAGAGCTCATTCTGGTTTTTTTTTTTT